AGCAACATCGTTTTTATAACTCTCATTTAATCTCTACTTCAAATCTTTGATGAAATTTGACAACTCAGAGCAGGAAGATAAAAATTTATGTTAATTAGTCTAAAATTAGTGCCTACGTAATACTCGCATTTCCTTCTATTGTTTTGCTTAGTCTTTCTGGAAAATGATGAGGATTATAAAGCAATGACTTTTTTTAATTAATATTTCTGACTTTTTTTTAAAAAATTTATGGCATAAATTCAAACATAACGCGTCGATCAAAAAAAAAAAAAAAAATCCCCAACTAACTCCCAGATGACATCATTAGAAATAAATCAATACTTACATTGATTAGAAGAGACTTTTTAAGATACCCTTCAAAATTTCATGATATTTTGACCCTAAGTCGGAAAAAATATTCATTTTAGAGTTTTAGAGACTATTTTTTTTTTTAAAAAATATCTATTTTGTATCAGTAAGATTTTTAATATATTTAGAAAAGCGATTCATAAATCATATTGTTGCATATTATCTTTTTACTTTTTCAGTTGAGGCACAAGATGGGCTAACAATGGTTAAATCAAAATAATGATAGTAATCAATCAATCTGAGTAATCTAATCAATAATCTGAGTAATCAATGGTTACTCAGAAATAGCAACCCGGACTAGGCAGGATATTGGTACCTGTTGCGAAAAAGCTCCTGTGCATGATTGGTATGGGGGAGACCGGCCTGGTCTTGCTCTGATCAGGGCAAGCAATAGGCGTGTCCGAACGGAGCTTGTCAGATTTAGAAGCGGACACACTCGATCCCAACGTCACGCTTCGGGTCTCAAAGTCTATCCACCCTGCCCTAAGTGCAATGTGAACCAGTCTGCTTCTGGCCACATGGTATCGTGTATTGGCTGCCAAAAGAGCCACCTGGTCTCCTACCCTGCTGCAATAATACATAGCTTTGGGAGCTTTTTGGATGAGTTCATGGACTTGATTTAATGCTTCTGTTGGTCAAGTGGGCATAGGCAACAACAACAACAACATCAAAATAACGCGAGGTGGAAACATCTGTGGAGTTGCAAACATTGCTTACATATCACTTATTCATAACCGCCAGATAGTTTTATTTCTATGTTAAAAGAAATAATTAAATCCTTTAATATCCCTTCAAATTTTTTAACGTCGATGTCAAATAGCCGTGTTAGACATTACAATACACGAATTCGACCCACGTTTCTCTTGGTTTTATAGGATACTTGAACAATTATTAAACAGTAAAAAGAATATACTGATTCCAGGTTTATCTAAGTTATTACAACCACTAAAACGTATAAAGGATATCAACACCATACATTTTTATCTAAATTCTGATGAAAACCATTAATTGATGTTTAATTCTCAATTCAAAGCATCATCGAAGTTTAGAAAAATCAAGAGAAAATTATGAAGCTTGAAATGTTGAAAGTGTTTTTCTTCTTCCTAATTTCAGAAAGCAAACAAATTATGGAAGGATTAGATAAGATTTACCCGTTGTAGAAATAATCCTGACATAATTCGTTGACATTTTGAGATTTCTAGAAGATATTTTCAGCATTTGAAACACGGTGGTTCGCTTTTAATTTATCTGAACTCATTTTTTTTCCTTACTTTAAATTTTAAACTACGAATATGGGTCAAGTGGAATTTGCCATGAAGTGTTTTTTCAGTAATTGAGCGTTCTCTTAAATCGTTTGATGCTTGTTTTATTTTCATTCTAAACCAAATGACTGAACATAAGACATATTTTGATCTATAAAAGAAGGAGAAAACACAGGTTAAGACTTGACATCTTTAACAGGGTCAAAAAAACCCACTCCAAACATTCTATTAAAAAAACCCTAGTAAGCATGCATTAATGCATGGCTATTATTATTATATTATTAATAGTTAAAGTTACTCTGCTTAGGTCAACATAGTATATATATATATAAATTACGAAAGATGAATATTTGAAACAAATCTTTTTTAAAAAATACATTTTTGGTTAGTTAGCATGTCTCTAACATAGGACATGAGTCCGAGAGCAAATTATTTTTAAACATAATTATAAAATAATTGATTTTGAATTCTCTATAAATATCAGAAAAAAATAAAATGTGGTGAAAAGTTGAGGAATTATTTGCTGATATCATCTATTGAACTTATTATTATTTTTCTTCTTAAATATTTTTATAGTTTTATACTTCTTCTATGATCAAACGCAATTTAAATTGAAGAAAAAAAGAGTATTTCCTATAAATAATAAATGCAAAACTACTTCACCATCAGTATTTATAAAACAAAACTTTTGAAAATTATAGTAACAATGATCAAATATTTCTGTTAACAAGAAAACTCTCTAATATGACTAGACGGAATACAGAAAAGAAGACAAATGGAAGCATTTTAAGCTGTATTGTGTAGACAGCATTTTCTGTAATTATTTTGATCCTAATTAAATGTTTCATGATGTTAAATTATGAAATGAAATGCGTATGTAATGAATAAAAGTATTTTTGCCTGATACAATGTGTTCAATTTTTGCCTGATGTAATTGCAGGATAGAAGTGTGTGTGTGTGGGGGGGGGGGTGACTTATTGACGTTTTTAAAAAACGCAGTTTTTTGTGCTTTTCATAGAAGCTGATAGTGTTTACAATAATGTATTCAAAATATCGTGAGGAATTTTTAATTTTTAGGGAACTTATATATCGACCGTGTCAAAAGATATTAAAACAGAAGCAACAAGTGGAAATTTAGTTTTTTAAGTCCGAAAAATTAAAAAAAATATAATTGCATTGTTATCTAAGACTATGACAGGTTTAGAATTTAGGCAAACTGAAATTTACCAAGGGAAAAAATCCTGAAAACTTGAACCAAGGAAAATTTCAAGAAAAATAACTAAAAATTTGTAGAAACAAAAAAAAATATTTTATACGTATTTTAGTTTGGCATCCTTAGAGCTGCTAACGTTTTTAGCAATGAATAATTTATTTTCATTGGTAAAAACGTTATGTATATCCGAAACGTATATATATATATATGTATATATATATATATATATATATAATCCGATCACCAATTTCCGAGTAACAGGAACTTGTTCGTTGTTCAGTATCTATGAAGAGTTTCAGGATTATGCTTACGTGTTGCGTTGAGCCAGAACTTTTGTTTTAAGACAGATCGTATAAGATTAATTGATTGAAAAGAACACATAGACATGATAGTGTCTCTCATTTTAGGTTAAATAAATTTCCTCGGGGCATCCTAAAATATTTTCCTTTTGATAACTTGAACTTATATGAGAAGTTCGAAAGGAGAAATTAACCCGTTCAAACTTGAACCAAAATTTTTGATTTTACAGAGAAAATGGAGGATTTTAAATAAATCAAGTACCGAGCATTTTTAATTAAGCAATATTTTTAATAATTTACAACCTCATGCCTTCATCAATGCATTTTCACATACAGAATAACTTAAAATTATTGAGGATATTTTCTTTTTAATGTTATTTTTTGCAATTTTGGAAAGATCTTGTTATGTTCTTGCATACTATGAAGAACACTTGCTTTGTTCTTGCAAACTGTGAAGAACAAATTGCTTTTGTTCTCCTTTAAAAGCTAATCACCCATTAGGATCTTGCGATAATTTAACGCCTTTTTCCGCCCTGTCATCAACTGCATTTAGCGTAGCTGGGGTTTTTTTACTTCCAAATTTTACTCATTATATTCCAGGTTGAAATTCATTCTTGTAAAAATCATAAGTCAATTTGAAGGCAAATGAAACACAGTATAGCGAAATTATTCTATCGTTGCATTGAGTATATCTCTGTTCAATATGTTGACACTCTTGTTATGGAATTAAGTTAATTCAATTAAAACCTTTATTGATTTCTCTTGAATACCATCGTCGAAATCCTTATCGCTGTCATCCAGGCTCCCGAAATCATTTCGCCTATTCTTTCATTCAATTTTTAGGATTTTAAGCATAGAATATCTTGCTTAAGTGTTTTTATTATCGCATTGCATTTAAATTACGGTATCACTGCAAAGTTTCAAGTTTCAATGAACAGCTAAATGTCTCTTAAAGTTTTCTCATATTCTTTTGTTAGGGTAAGCTGCAATCTCAATAAAATTATGTTCAAGGAATGAACTTGCCCAGCTATCTGACAGGCTTGATTCATCGTATATTTTAAGTTTCTCCTCAGAATCTTTTAGTTCATTATCTCTAGTTTCTTTTCTGTAGAAACGAAATGCACAATTCAGTTAGTTTTTTAAAGTCATTTCTATATGTTTTTTCCGTTTAATTCTTTTTCTAGAATGATTATCGTTTTCTTAATTTTTTCCTTGCTATGTCGCAGCATTCCATTGACTTAATTTTGTGTAATCTGTCATAACGATTTAAAATGCTAACGAGTCGATCACATCTAGCTAAATCAGCTCATTTTCAAATATCAATATCCATATCATCAATATCTGTGCGGTTTTAGCATTTGAGATGATTTTCTAGTTAATAAATAAAAGTAATGATTACATTAAACGATGTAATAATCACAGAAAGTGATAATTTTAAAGCACTACTATGGAGTAGAGAAAATTGAGACCTAGTGATTTTGATAACAATAAGCGATTGATAATTTTAACCGTTATCATTATTAAGAGGAGAATATTTATAATTAATAATCTCCACTGGAGAATATTAGTGGAGAATATATATTAAAGGCCTGTCCCTTAAACTCTAAAAACTATCAAAAAAATGCTAGATTCTTAGGAACAGTTTGGCAATTTTATCATAATTCACGCATGCGTAAAAGCGAATTTTTCTGTAAAATTTATTTTTCAGTGTTGTAGTTTTACTAGATGTATGTAAATTACATACTATAATTTTAAAAACCAGAATTTTCGATGAATCACTACCATAACGGACGGAAAAACTACTTAAAGATTCAAATACCTAAAATTGTGGTTTAATTACCAAAATTCTCGTTTTTTTTTTCTTGTTAATAAATAAATTTATTTTGAGTCTGTTGAAGAATTTCTCTTAAAATATAAGACTTCACAGATAAAAACAAAGCACGAAATTGTTAGCCCAAAAACTAGCATCATGAATGCACCTATTAATTCATGTAGTAGAAGTGGTTTAAAGTTGTCTTTGACAAATGTCGCATTCTTGGAGAACTCTATGTAAGATTTCAATGATTCATCTTGTACAAACTTACGGTATATACCACTTTCAATAAGTCTATACAATACATCATCTAGCTTTTTTCCACAGCAAAAATTTGGGTTGATAGCTATCGCCACTGGCGTAATCCCCAAAGAGTCTTTCGAAATGTACATATCAAGTCTTAATCCAAAGTATTTCTCTAAAAGCTCTCTTAAACTTAAATAGGCACTTCCTGTTTTCGCTGCATTGCAGAAGTTAAAACTACAGTTTGGTTTGGGCTTTTCCAGCCAATTATTTCGAATTATTGACTCACCGAGTCTTTTCAGGTGTTCATCTTCTAAATTCAGTAGCTTCGATATAGTCAGGGTTCCCCTCACCACATAACAATCAAGCTTGCTGTCAGTAACAGCTTCAGACAATTGTTTGAAGCTTCTTATTAAATCACCTTCTATAGGAAAAGTTAGAAACGATAACAAAACTGCAGAATAAAAGCAGGAGATCGAAAATGCAAAAAGTAACCAAGTTGCTTGTATGATTCGATTATACCATGGCTTATTCGCGATTTCCGATGGCTGTTTTAGAATATTTCCCACTGTGTTTAACCATAAATAAGCGTAAGAGTTATTTGACAGGAATAATCGAATCAGAAGAGGGTATGCAATTATAAAAGCGAAAGTGATAATCCAAATTTCTAGAGAAAATGGAAGCATGAAAACAAAACCTTTTGATATTTCGCCGGGTCTTTCTACAGCGAAAGTTGTATCAGTCATTGTGTATGACATGCTAAAATCAACATCTCTCATCCGCTCAAATGACTGTGCAATTGAGGACAGAGCAATATCCGCTTCACCTCTATGAACCAGCCCAATCATTCCAGTCCAATTACCATCTTCTTTCAAAGAGCCCCATTCAAAATCGTGTGGAGTTACTATTTCTGGAATTACATGTAAAGCATCTAATATTGTTCCTAATAGTCTACCTTCAACTCCGGAAAATTTCATGACACCATCTGAGGTTAAAGAGAATTTTAAGTTCGAGAATTCCACTACAGCAATTTTAAGAATCTTCGGAAACTCCATTCTTAAGGAAAACTTCCGTTACCTCTATTGAAAAACCAAAAGGAAACAAGGAAGAAAATATTTAAAATACATCTTTGAATGTCATGAAATGATATTACTTTCTAAATTTACTAAATTGCTTGATTACACATTTGCTTCCCTCAAATCGTTTTTTTTCCCCGCAAAGTTGTTAGTTTTCAGTATCGATAATTCTAGCAATTGCATCGCTATGAATCAATAAAATTATGTAGAAGCAAGAACGAGTCATATGTATCAATTTTGTAAATTGCAGTTCAGTAAAGAGAATTCTTATTTCCCCCTTCTTTTTAATATTCTTCTAGGCTAAAAATAAATTAAGGCGAATTAGTCATTCGTGTTTAATAAACTTTGTTGGCAAGTCGTAGGTTTCTAGGCATTTAAGTATGTAGTAATAATACTAATTTAGGACAAAACTTGCATAGTTTCTTACAAAATTTATACACGCATATAGATTTAAGAACCTATTATTTCTTCAAAATAACAATAATTAAAGCTTCATCTTTATTCCTAGACTTAAGATATTGTACAGAACATAGCATTGTTCTAATTATTATTATAGTTAGTATAGCAATTACAGTTATCATATCATCGTTCTAATTCTACACATAAAATTAGTGTAGAGTATTCGAGAAAAGTTGCTGAAATCTACAAAACGTGTCTCGAAAGTTTCCAAAAATTTAAATTTATGCTATAACCACTAGCATGTTACAAATATTGCATGCGGTGTGTTATTATAACTTTAAAATTAGGTGCTCAAAACCTGTCATTGTAATTCCATATTTATAAAGGGTTTCCTCTGTGATTTTTGTTTCTTAACCGTGACCAAAAGTTTAATCCTTAAGAATTTGCTCAGTTATCAATACAAGTTTATACGCAAACTTCTTCTTTTTTTTTTAAATTTGAGGTAACTATTAAAACTCCTTAAATATTTTAGGCCAAAGAGCTTGTTTAGAAATAATTCGAAAAGATAATGCCTAGTATTTCTGTGCTCGTTAAGTTTCGCGAATTATTTAAATTTCATAAGTTGAATTTGGGAGAAAGTTTCTAAATATAAGACAATCTTTTTAAAATTAATATAAGAACATAACCGTTACTGTGGTAGGGAGCATGGTGGGTTAAGGGATAGAATGCTTGCCTTCCAATGTGGTGACCGGGTTAGAACCTTAGCGATAGCTGGTCGATATGAATTCCGCACCCGACTCGCACCGACCACAGTGCTGACGTAAAAATATCTTTTATTATTGACTGACCATGGACAATCCTCTTGCCGTCAGGCTAACCGTGAGAGTATTTCAAGTTTTTCCTCGCCATTTAGTTAAAATTCTGTTCTCGGCTCGCACCGATCAGAATACCGACGTGAAATATCGCCAGTAGACGGTTAGAATAAAAATAAAAATCGCTATGAAATTCATTATTATCATAGTTAATGTATACGCGACTGTAGTAAATCGGCGAAATTTGTAAGATTCAGGAGCAACACAGTATTATCTCATCAATCAATAAAAATATTAATAAATCTAAAAAAACATGGAAAATGCAACCAATTAGTAGCAAAATAAAACTAAAACATATTAAATATATATGCCTTGATTACTATAATCTTTATCGACAATTTTTCTGACGAAATACGTTATATAAAACACAAAAAAGTGTTCATTTGTATTTGACTAAAAATAATACACTTCCATGGCTAACTTAAAAGCTCAACAAAAGATTTTTTCAAACTTTATGCATTCTAGTTCAACAGCTATTAGAAGGCTTTCTGACTTCCCATTGACATCGTCTTCATTTGTGTTTTATATTGTTTTTGAATGAGTTCATCATTTCCTGCAAATAAAATAAGGCTTTGGCATTCCAGGAATCTTTTTTCAACGCAGTTTTACATAAAATGTAAAATTAAAATAAATATAACTTATTCGAAACTACTTACTTACTATTGAGTGATTGTAGTACGGTAATTAAGTATGTCTATCGTTAATGTTGTTCAATAAATTGAGATAAATGTTGCGCTTAATGTAATAAAAAATTCCACTTTTAGTTCGATGCTTTTGTATTTGTATAAGACTTTTCGTTTCTTTGAATAAAACTGTCACGGTTATTACTTTCCATATCTGTACAAAAATAACAAAATTAGCAGAAGTGGTAAAATAAGTTTAATTTAAATACTATAAAAGTCGCAACAAAGTTATCATTTCTAATGATAACAATTTTGATAGATTAATTTCTGATAAATATTCATTAATATTCAAACATTCCTTCTGATCCATTCTGGTAAATATTCAAATATTCAATATTCATCCATTCTGATAAATATTCAAACATTCCTTCTTAAATATTCATTAAATACATATATAATTAAAAGAAAGTAGAATAAAAATACCATCAAAATATGAGATAATTTATTGGTAAATACGGCTATAACTTTTCTTCAATTTTAAGTAAAGTATCCCCGAAACAGCTCGTTGTAGGCCAAGGGGTCATGGAGGTTAAGACACCACAATTTCATGACCAATGACATAATTGTTGGAATTATCTTCTCTGCGCACAAACCGCCTTTACTTCCCAGAAAACCAGTATCAATTGATTGATCGACAACTGGGTGGGCTTCAAGCAGCTATTGGGAATCGAGCCACTGTTTTTCACAGTGATAGTTTAGTGCTTTCACCACTGAGTCGTCGCGGTTCTGTTAATTTTAAGATAATAAAATTCCTGGAACATTTTTAACTCGAAAATATTTTACAAGCTTTTCCGGTTGTCATATAACGTTCAGGGTATACAGTTCGAAAATCTTATATGGAAGCCATTAAAATAAGACAATCAGATTTCAAATATTTTTCAGTAATTGAGATATTAAGTAATATGAATGATACTTACATATTTTTAACAAATATTGTAAGTAATATTGGCACAATAAAGTGATTAAAGGTTTTTTTGATGAATAGAATTCTTTAAATACTCTAACTGTGTTTTTAGCGACTAATTTACTTTATATATATATTTAAGAGGGGGCGAGTTGTCAAATTATTATAAAGTCAAAAGTTTTCTTGAATAATAAATATTTATACGATGTTAATGAAAAGAAAATAACACTTTTAAAATTGAAATTTGTTGAAATAATTCAAATCGGCGTGTAAGTTATTTGTAGAAATTATTTACATGAGTTATGTGTTATTACAAAGCAAGATAAGTTATTTAATTATAAAAGTAGCTTGCAAAAGGTGTAAAATTTAAACCTCTTTTTATTAAAAATATGACGAGGTAAACGTTTATTTGTCTTGATCATATGAAAATATGAAATATGAAAATAGAAGTGTAAATAAAGGTTTTTTTATGGCGCGTTCTTACTGCATTACTGAAGCGTGTTTGATTCGTTAGTTACCTTGGATTGGCACCAAAATGGATGTGCGCAAGGTAATAATATTATACGGGGTAATTTAAAATTTTTAATTAATAAGATTTATTTTTAATTACACAATTTTGATGATTTTTAAAAATTAACGTTCATTTAATAAAAACACGATTTTCCCGGTTTTCACTGATTTTTACTTACGGATCTGCCCGAATTGGATTTTCCGACTGATTTTTCCGAATTGGATTAACTCAATGATTTTGTATAGAACTTAATTGCATTATTAATTACATTATTGGTATCCATTGTTTTTTTTTTTTATCAAATTTCGTAACAGTTTAACTACTTTTTTTTTGGCTAAAGAAATATTACTACATATTCTTTTAATTTTATTCATTTGATTAAAAATGGTACTTAAGTAAATGTTTCTAGAAATATTGAACTCGAAGCTAATTTGTTTATTTGTATTAAAATTAAAATCATTTCTTTTTTCGTTTAAAGCAGCAATGCAGAGATTTTTTTTAATAACTAAATCCAAAAAAATAAAATTAATATTATCATCATGATTACGAAGCATAATTAATTCCTCGTAATATTAAATATTACTTAACAAAATTGAATAATCTTGAAAATTAAAGATAACAAAACTAAACTAAAAACAAATTTGAAAATCAAAATAGAATTTTTTTATTATTTTGTGTAAAAATAAAGTTAGCTAAGAGAGATGAAAAATTAGATCCCTGTGGTATTCCTGCAATTTCAATAAAAATATGTTTTCTATTGTAAAGATAATTATAAAAAAAGACAAATATTAATTTGAATTTCCCAATAGTCAAAATCGCAATGAAAATATATATATATTATCCTGCCCAAGTAATGTTTAATTAATTTTTAATGTCTTACTTATTTTTTCTGAATGAAGAAAGATATATTTCCCATTTCAGAATATTTCCTTGAAATATTTGTTCAATACTTCGAAACAAGGTGAAGAAATTCAATTGAATTATAAAAATATTCATTAATTGAAAAAAAATAAATGAATTCCTTCTGCGAATCTTTATTTCTTAATTCTTTTTAAAGTTTTTATTTCCTTTTGAAAGAACACAAAGATTTAACAGGTAAGATTAACAGTGAGAAATAGAATTGCCAACTACATAAATAAATAAACTTACTTCCTTAGACTTTCGCTGCTAACTAAATACTTGATTTTAAAACACAAATTTTGCTTTTTGTATTAATTTGTATGATATTAGCGTTTTGCTATTTGCAAAATAGAAATTTTCCATTGTTTAAATTACCTGTTTTTATAAACCATTTAATTGTTTGCGATTATAGTAATTTTAATTAATGTTATCTTTTAAATAATTCATAGATCCGAGTAGTTATTTTAGTATTCCAGTTTTCCTAAAATAGACTAATTTTTAAAAAGATACGTGGTTAAGTTTAATAATATTATAATAGGCTTTATTTAAAAGCGTTATTTAATAAAAATAATTTTATACATTGTAGATGTTTGTTATTAAAATAATTTCAACTATTTGAAAACAACATCATATTAAACTTTTTTCTGTAAAATTGAAAAATTAATTTCGATTATTATCACTATAAATTTCAAATGAAAGAGATTTTATTTCTGTACGTAATGTTCTTTTTCACTTGAATCAATGATAATAAAAGTTACTATTTTTACAGTATTCTCTGTTAGAAAAGTTCTCTATGTGTTCCAGAACAGATTTTTACTTTTTAAAGTGAAATCCATTTTTACCGGAACATATTAAGAACCAAAAATATCTGATATAAGTAATTTTTACAGTAATAAAGTACCGTAACATCACTGATTACTGTAATACTACTGTAAAAATTATGATAAAAATGGATTTTACGGATGGTCTACCAAAAGTGCCAGTGGATCACTTTGCTTTTTTGAATGTAAAATTTGTTGTGATAATGTAAACTGTTTATATTACAGTAAATATGTCAACTAATTGCGATGATTTCTCCTAATTTCAAATCATATTTCCTTGCATTCATGTTTTATTTATTAGAGTAATTTTCTTTACTTAAAACATTTATATATATATCACAGTTCTGATGGTTTTTTCTTTTCTTTTTTGCAGGAAAAATTATGCACTTATTTTTATTTATTATAATTGTTCATTTATCCATGCTTTCCTACCAAGCAGTTGAAGCATGTCAAACCCAGACAATACATGATTACCTTTATGGAAAGTGGGTTAAATACGCTGTGAGTAACTTCTGATATTTCTTTTTATCATTAAAATTGGGTCCTCAAATGTTGCTCAGAATATCTGAGATAATATTTTGTTGCTTTTGTTTATATATTTAATATTACAAATTAATGTTATTTAGTACTCAGAAATATTATTGAATTTATCTTTGCATTAGCTTGTTTTCTTTTCTCAAGAAAAAAAACTGTGCATCGGTGCAACTGAACTAAGAAATGTGCATTAGTTAAATATCACTATTAGTAAATGACGACAATTTAGTTCTAGTAAAACTCTTTTATTTTCAGAAAGATTATAAAGAGTACTATGATGATTTAGACGAATGTAATGAAAACCGAAGAATAATATTTGAAGAACGCATGAAACAGATTGAAATGTGGAACAAAGAATATGAACAAGGCCTTCACAATTTTGCACTGGGTCAAACTATTTTTACAGCTAGGGTAAGCTCATGCTTAAATAATAAATTTATATTTTCATCTATTTAATCCCTAATATGCATCATTTTCAAAATTACGAAAATTGTGTCTAAAACATCTGCTTAAACAATTTCTATAAAATGTGAGACTCCTAACTTACACCTTATTTGTTTAACATTATTAATAATATTGGGAGTTTTTACCTACATTTTTCTTGATTGAAGTTGTACCTTTTTTTTTAACTGAATTACAACTTAACTTTTTTCACCTTTAACTATGTGTTTGGAAATTTTTACAAATAAAGATTCAATAGAAAAATAGTCTTTTGTAAGCTCAAATAAATGTCTAGTAATTGAATTGTATTCAACGAAAAATAGTAAACAAAATTCAACATTTTATTACTTGAAAGAAATAAAAATTATCAATTAATTTTTTCTTCAATTTAGTAACATATACTCAAGTATCCCTTCAAAAAGGTTTCAAAAGTAAAAAAGCTTTAATAAAAAAATTTCTATTCTTATACAAATATTAAAGTGTACTTAAAATTATAGGCAAAAGTTCACTATAAAAGCAATTATTGATAATCAAATCAACGATTGATTAGAACTTTTATAATGTAAGTTTGATAATTTATTTGTATTTTTTAACGAACAAAATAAAAATTATAATAAACAATGAAATGAGAAAAATTAAGGAATTTTAATACTATATGATTTGTTTCATCAATAAAATTGGTATTTTTGAAACTGTGCCCGATTTACATAACCCTGGAAAAAGGTGATTGTCCTCAAACCTCCCCTTAAAAATTTGTAAACTGCTTTAAAAAAAATGAGAGAGAGAGAGAAAACGTGCTCTAAATTGGTGTCCCGTTATGAAGAGTTATTAGTGAAATATACATTACATACATTAAACATACATCTAGACAGACTTTCGCTTTTCGTTTTTATATGTAGAAAGAGATGACCAATGTAAGCTAGAGTTCCTGCTGGCTAACTAAATTTAGATATCGGGAACTCTAATGTAAACAATTTTTTGTAATTATTTTGAATTGCCATCGTAAAACGTTTAACATTTTTTGATATTCTACTTTTTAGCAACAATGTCATCATTCTAGAAAAATTAGAATGATAAATTTTTCATAATAGTTTTATTTATGTAATATTTCTTTTAAAATATCACAAAAATCTATTTAAAAAAATTAATAGTTCAATCATAATTTCGAATAAACTTTATGCATAAATCATACTTAAGTTTATAAATAGTAGAGTAGAGTGGGGTCAATTGTAACAGGGTACAATTGTAACAGAACAAAAATTTCGAGTGTCGGGTTCTAGATGTGGTTCCTAGGTGGCGCACAAGGTGTATTTAATAAATCTACATGTACGCCCCTGCTGGCAACCATTTTTATGTACTTTTGAAAGAGTTACATCACAAAAGATATTTTCATGCTACCTAAGTACTTTTTTTGGTATTAGAATATTATATTGTAACAAAGTAATTTTGTTTAAACAATTAAAAATTATTAACCGAATATGTAAGTGGACACCTTAATTAACATTTCAAGATTAGTTTTGTTAATTAACTGGCATTGTTTTAAACAAATGAAGCTGAAATGGCGTCTTGGGGACGATTGTAACAATAAGTAAAGGGACGAATGTAACAGCTGAAAATAAATAATCTTATGTTTACAAACCATTACTTAACTCTTTAAGAACCCCCAATAGTTTTCTATATCATTTATATTATGTTGCATGTGTATTATTTTATTTTTCACCTTTCACAGCATAAATTGAAATTTTTAACCCCTTAAAGTTAAAAGGTCTCTGCTCATTATTATTTTTACTCGTAAAATATCACTACTATTTTGATCAATAAAAAATATATATCACAACTATGATAATATGTGCAATTAACTATGTTTTAGTTGAATTTATGAACTGTTACAATTGACCCCGTAAGTGGGGACAATTGTAACAAGTGCACGACTGTCAAAAATTGTTGATAACTGATATAATAACATTTAAAATAAGGTATTTTTTTTGTTCTAGTAGAAGATAGTCTACTTTACTCGTCTGTCAATTAATACTAATAATATGTTGGATTTTTTGTTAGTTAAAAACAGTTAAGTAAAAAAAGTTACAATTGACCCCACTCTCCCCGACATTTTCTTAAGACCAATAGCCCATATTTATGCATATTAAATAAAGTAAATGTATTTATTGTTATAGTCTACGGAAGAACGTAAAAGCTTTTTTGCTTTATTGCCATACACGGAGAGATTACGTCAAAATGCAGGAATAACGTACAGGTCTCGATTGCCCAAAACATTAGATTGGAGAGAAAAAGGAATAGTACCCAAAGTTAGATACCAGGTGAGATATATATATATATTATCTCTACTATAAAAAGAGCATATCAAGAAGTAAATATTTCACATACTGTTCTGCAGAAAACACTATTTTAGAACCAAACATGGCAGAAAAAAATGGCACATTGAATAAAATTGCACAATTGTAAATTCTTTATTTTTTAATAAAATAATTAATCTACTATTTTTCTTAATTAATGTCTGTCAAATGCAAAGAGATATTACCCATTAAGATTTCAATATTTTAATACTAATTCAAAAAAATTAAGAATTTTTTTCCCTATAAACCTTTATCTTTATCTTCCCTGTATATCTTTAACTTCAGATTCATTGTCACTCAAAGCAGAACCTTAAACTGCGAATTATTATTGTCAATTTTCTTCAACGAACACTTTTAGTATACAATTTGATGATAAAAATATCGGAAATATTAATTGGCTTCTGGCGTGAAATTAATTCTTAGAAAAGTGTCCACGTGCAGTTTCCACCAAGAAAAAATGATATTATTTAAATTAAATAAAATAAAAAAAATTAGAAATTCTGAAATTGACTTAAAATTTTAATTTTGTAACTAATAATCATGATTCAAATATCTTCCTCCCAATTTTACTAGCTAACCAATTTTTAAACTTTTTTTCTTCATAATTCAACTATTTCATACGAAATAAATAGTGATGGTAAATCCAGCTGTTAATTTAAATCTTAAAGATATTATGACATTATCATTTATGTTAAAAATACTCATTGTCATTTTCAATAACCTATCGCACCCCATCAAGAAAAGTGACACAAGTAAAAAAACAGCAATTTGGAGGTTATGTCAATAAAACATGTGTAAGAAGTGCCCCATCAAGCTCAAAAAGTGTCTCATCTCTAGATCTCGCTATTTCAGATTGTGCTATTTCAGAACAAGTTTTATAGTATTCTTCAAGTTGGTTTTTTTCAAATGCCACATTTTTGAGTTATAACACTATTCTTGCCGGGGTGCGATATCTGATGGCGGTCTGATACTCTAAGCCTAGATCAATGGAAGATCAGATTTCAAACACTCAAAAATGGAAAAATTGGCCACCCGGAGGTCGGAAAAGACTCACCAGGAATGCCTTGTGGGATTACATGTTGAAATTAATTAACTTCGGGGTGAAAAAATGGATATTTATTTCTTTTAGAAGATGTTTTTGAGGACTCCATAGGAGTTGTTGTTTCGTTGGTGGGGATCTAGATCAGCACTGCCATGCAAATCTTTATGATTGCCATTGGACTATGGTATATTGCCATACAAATTACTATGATTGGCATAGGCCAATGGTGACGCGCCATACAAATCCTTATGGTAACTATTTGTATGGTATACTGCCATACAAATCTTTATTGTTACCATTGGCCTATGGCATACTGCCATACAAATTTCTATGGTTGCCATAGGAGAATGGTGACGTGCCATATAAATGCCGTACAGGTCTCTATGATTACCATTGGCCTACGGTATCTTGCCATACAAATTTCTGTGGTAGCCATAGACTTATGGGGTTTTCCCACACAAATCTCTATGGTAACCATAGGCGTATGGTATCTTGCCATACAAATTTCTATGGTAGCCATAGGCTTATGGGGTTGTGCCATACAAATCTCTATGGTAACTATAGGCGCATGGTATCTTGCCATACAAATTTCGATGGTAGCCATAGGTAGCCCTAGATTACCATAGGCTTCTCTATGGCAAATTTTCCTAAGGGTGCACAATATATCTAATATATCTATCTCAGTCTTTTAACATGCAGTACTATAAGTAATCGGGCAAGTATTACAAATCTTACAAGCGACGCGACAATGTTGATTTAACTTTAACCAATTTATTCAGTTGCCAAAATTTTCATTACCTGAGAAAAATTTTTATTTTATTTTACCAGTCTAAATGTGCTGCCTGCTACGCCTTCTCGGTCGTTGATGCACTGGCAGCTCGATATGCCCGCAAAACAGGAGAATTGATCCCTCTAAGTGCCCAAATGATCATCGATTGCACCAAAGACAGTAAGACTGCTAATATTTTCTTACTACTCATTTGACTTTATCAAAACCGGATTTTTTTTCCTACCTTTGAAGAGAAATGGTACATAAATTTTTAAAAATGGGTGATAAAAAAGTACCGTCACTCAGGGAGCCGGTACTTTTTACCGTAAAATACATTTGAACCGGATCATATTATAGAACAAAAATAATCTGATACTCTGTAATTTTTACCGTAATAATTTCCGTTGAATCACTTTTAAATAAATACTATTACTGTAAAAATTACGGTATAATATTTTTACGGTGAAAATGGATTGTGTTGGTAAAATGCATTTTACGGATGATTTTCACCCGAAAGGAAGTTATAAGAGAGAGAAAAAGAGAAAGAGTAGCGTTCACTCTCTTTTTCTCTAATGCCTTTTCCAAATTCCCTTTTATAAATTAGATGTACTTTGTATCACAATTTGATCAGGAAGGGCCGGGATAGCCTGGTTGGTAGGACGCTGGGCCCATGTCCGAGAGTTCGTGTGTTCGAACCCGGCAGGTCGAACACTTCCCGTGTAATAAAGTGACTGATGCACGTTAATCTGTCGAGTCGCAAAAGTCTTCCATGTTCCCATAACAAATCAATACCTCTGGGGGTACTGGATTGGAGATTGATCGTTCTCTGATTCAGGTCAAAATTACGATCTGTGGATGAATGAATGGATGTATGAATGGGTCCGCCCTATAAACGGGTGCGACATATGTTGTGGCAGAAGAATAATTTTTGGCCATAGATGGCGCCGCTGGAAAACAAGAACAATCGCACCCCCTCTGCCTAAACAGACATACAACAACAATATTTGATCAGGAATCTTTTACAGTGAAGTCAATTCCATTTTAACTCTTTCCTGCGTATAGGTCCAACTAATTTTCTGACACAGAGTTATCTGTTACAGAGGGAAACATTGGTTGCAAAGGAGGATCAATGACCCTGAGCTTTCAATATATTATGAATCAAAATGGTATAGCAACTGAGGAAGAATATCCATTCAAAAAAGAGGTAAGTTTAAAAAAGAATTTCTTTTTTACTTCTCTTGTTCAACTGTATTAACGCTGAGCTAATTCCATAACATAAACTGAGATTGTCCAAAATTTAAACTTAAAAGCATAAAATAGTTTTGAAATGAATACAATATATTTTTTATAAGAATTACTAAAGCGTAATATTACTAACAGGACGGGGAATGTCGGGAACATTTAGCTCGAAAAGAATTTGCAATGAAGAAATTCATCGTCCTTCCCGAAGGAGACGAAGAAATAGTGAAACTAGCTCTCTTCAGAATTGGGCCGCTTGCAATTGCAATAGATGGTGATCTTGAAACATTCGAAGATTTTAGGTAATAATTTATTTATTTATTTATGCTTTGTAAACAGAATTTCTCAAGCAGAACCGAGGTGGTTCAGAGTGTAGAGAGTTCGCCTTCTAATGAGATGATATAGGTTCGAATCCCATTCGTGACTGGTTGATACAAATTCTGCTCCCGGGTCGCACTGTCCGCAGTGACGTGGTAGACAGGTCATAGGTTAAAATACTCTTGCCATCGGGTTAACCATGGGGGAATTACGTTTTTTTCCTCTCAATGTAACTCTAATACGAGTACCATCGAAACGTTATCCACGAAGACTAGTTTGACCCAATGCTTGATTCAGGAGTTCCCTTGTCTTCTGGGTTTCGCTCAAAATTACAAAGCTGCAGTGTTATAAAATAAAAATAAAAAGCACCAGTTATAAAATAAAGCACCAGTTATAAAATAAAAATAGTAAAAAATAAAATTCCTTTAGCAAATTTTTTGAAGTGAAATAGAAAAATTAAGACCTTGCTTTAAAATTTTAACAAAAAATATCCTTTCCAGACTTTTTTTTTTTGTAAAATCTTATTAAGTATATTTTACAACAACCAAAACTTAGACTGAAAATTCCTAGCAATAGAAACGGGCTGATTGTCTTCTTTCATTTCTTATAAATTTATAAATAAGGAGATCATTTTACTACTATCAATTAACCCACCTGCGCAAATTATTTCTTACCGCAGTTCTTTTCTCAAATTATCTGTTATAAACCTACCTTATATAAGTTTGAAAAAATTTCAAAATAGCTTGGTACTAAAAGTAATTAAGTTCTGAACTAGGTTAACCTAAATTATCTCTTAAAAATGTTTTTGTGTACAAGAGTACTTTTCGCTCACTATGGTTTTTAACTTTCAAAAATTTAAAGCAATGTTCAAAAATATTTTTTTTCTTCATATTTTTTAAAGTTTTAAAAAGAGATCAATAACTTTATACAGTCTTAAGTAAGTTTGGCACTTTTCGGTTAGCTGGGTGCAAGGAAATACATCTGCTTTTCTTAAAAACAGTTTTTAAATTTTTTGCTATTTTTTTAAAAATTTTTGTTTATTTTATTTTTTTATTTTATTTAATGCTTTTAGTTTATTTAGTTTTTTTTATGTTTAAAAATAAGTAAAAAAAAAAAGGAGTAGTAGGCAAAGGTCTATACTTTTTGACGACTTTCTGCTTTCGCCCAGCTAACAGGAAAGTACCAAAAGTTTTTGCCATTAATCTAGAAAAAATTTAAATCACTTAAATTTACGAAATTTAAAATGGAAAAAAGCTTGTAATAGTATTCAAATAAGTTTTTTTTATAAATGTTTGATTAAATTTTTTAGTATGTTTTCAAATTTTCAAAATAAAGGAACAACTTAACAAAGCCACTAAAGTTACTGATTAATTTAAATGTACACAGTTTCTAAATCACGTTATCTGTGGTGAAGTTTAAAAGCTGAACCTAGCGGATGCAGATGTATTCCAGTTTCAATCAAACTGGTATTTTAAAATTTTTATTCCTTATTTTGCTTTTCCCACTTTCAATAATGATTTATCAAAGTTCGAAAATGTGTCTATCGAATTATCTATTCACATAGTTACTAATATATGACCTCTACTATGCATTTTTTTAAAAGTCATTTACCGAAAGATTCAGAAATCTATAGGATGTCCAAAATGTGTGAAAACAGTCAAATATGTCAAGAAATACGTATTGTACCAAAAATGAAAATATTTTTAAACTCAGTCCCCAGCCTTACCCTTTAGGACGGGGACGAGAGAATTTCAAAATCTTAAATAGGAACTCCTAATATTTATTGCAGATTTAGATTTTCCAGAAAATATACCTCATTAAGGCATAAAGGTTTAGGTATTTTGATTCACAGAGGGAGTTATAATTACAATATGAAGGTGCTAAAAGTATTTAAAATCTTGAGAGATGCAAGTGAGATCGAAAAAGTAAAAACAAACTTGTTTAATATTTTGAAAAAGGTATCTAATGACATCAAATTTGATCCACTCGCCTCAACTAGGCACTAAGTTTTCTTAAATATTAAGCAAGCCTATTTCTATTTTCTTCGATACCATATGCGTTTCTCACGATATATTTTACACGATTTATTGGCATCTTTTTGAAATTACAGCTAGCAAATGTGACAACCTGTATATCAAAACGTGGTGACTTTGTTCAGGAAATTCTAAATCTGTAATAGAAAATAGGAGTTAATATTTAAGACCCTGAAGTTTATTTGCATTTTTTCCTCAAACGTAATATTTGTGGTCAAATTTGATGTCATTGAATGCATCTTTTGAAAATATTTTAAAATTTTTGCATTTTTAATCTAATGTTTATTTTGGTTTGTTTTTCTTAGAAATTAGACCATTTTTTTGTGTATATTATATTATAGGTAGCCGTTATAGGTGCAGTTATGTATATTATAGGTAACCGTTATAAAGCACCCACTGTAATGAATACATAAAATTCTTTTTTATTAATTTATTTCAAGGGGTGATGGAATATATGACGATCCGAGATGCAAATCGAAGAACGTAACTCACTCTGCACTTTTAGTAGGCTATGGTACTGACGGTGGAGTTGACTATTGGTTGGTAAAGAATAAGTAAGAAATTAAGATCAACTTAAACGAACAGTTGGATGCTTGATTACACCATCTAAATTGGATCAGTATCGTAAACTTAAATCTATTACATTTTTAAGCCGTAAATTGGAATACATATCTCTAGCAACAAAAATAATGGGCTTTAATTGGACCAATAGTCACTAATCTTGGCTCAATAAGGGCTTAAAGTTCCGTTATTTTTCCGATATTGTTCCGATATAGAATTGTCCGATTCACTCGATATTTTACTGCCACTTTACAGCCAATATCGGCCCTATATAAAGTTTTCAGATCCACCTATTTTATATTCATTATTCAGCCAATATGGGCCCTATATTGGTTTTATATACACTATCTACCAATAAGTATTTGGACACGTGTGATTGAAAAGATAAACAAACTTTATTCATAATCAATAGTTGGTAGAGCCTCCACGAGAAGCAATTACAGCGTGAACCCTCCGGGGCATATTTTCCACAAGTCCTTGTGTGATGGTCAGTGGTATTTTCTTCCACTCGGCTTGTAGAAGACATGTAAGTTCCTTCACCGATTTTGGACGGGTAGTACACCCCTTCATTCGGCGATCCAACTCGTCCCAGAGGTTCTCGATAGAGTTCAGGTCTGGGCTCTGAGCAGGCCAGTCCATTCGACTAACCCCATTGGCACCATACGAAGCCTTGGTGACCCTCGCAACATGAGAGCTGGCATTGTCGTCCTGGAAGTAACAGGGGTCCACCCCGTAAAACTGCCACAACGTAGAAAGCACATTGTCATCCAAAATAGTGCAGTAGGCATCTTGCATGGGACTAATGCCGATGTTGTTCCCTGCACGATATATACCGGCGGAGGACGCGACATATCTCAGGACCGCAGATATAGTCATTTGCATAGGTGTCCAAATACTTATTGGTAGATAGTGTAGGTAGATATTGGCCTTATATAGGACCAATATTGAAAAAAATTAGCCATAACAATATTGGTCTATCGGTGTGTGTTCTTATGGAACCTATATTGTGTCAATTTTGAGTCCAACTGGAATCAAGATAAAATTGTTGCTAGGGATATTGTAAAACTTATGAACTTGTGGAATCATTCTTATGAGAAAGCAATGAACAAATACAGTTAGATAGAAGTGTTACGTAAATCAGCACAAATACTTTATCCTTTAGTGGCAGATGAGACACCGGTGTCCTTTTTATATATTTTTTCTGACTCTCTATTTACGAGCAAAAACATATTTTGGTGTTTTTTAATAATAAGAAACTGTCTAATAGTTTCTAAAAAATGTGCTAGATCACCGAAATTGTTTTTGTACTAAAATATTAAATCCAAAAAAAGTAGATTGAAAGTTTTTTCCTTTATATTCAAAAATTTATCAATAATTGGCTTTTTTAAATTAAAGAAATTTCAATGATGAATACCTGTTTCTCTTAAATTACCCTAACTGTAAATAAGTTCAAATTTGGAAAGTTATTGTTTGTAAGTGAACCATGTTTGGAAAATTTTACCTTTAACGCAAAATATAATGACACCGGTGTTTCATAATTATAAATTATTTAATGTTTTTCACTTATTTTTACCTGTATTATAGCAAAAAAGAATTAAAAATTATGAAAAATATGTTAAATAAAAATTCTTCGTCAAAGGTATATAGAGTTCTTGTTCAAAATGAAGTTACAAATAATTCTTATTATTATCCACCGCAAATAAATCTTTTAGTCAAGATAAAAAAAAAAGTGTTATAAGAATCTGAAGAATCATTATCAAGGTCAAAAACAGTAAAATCAGGACTAATAGTATTAAAATGTCTTGAAATTCGAAAGCTGAAAGGAGAAAAGTACTAATCAGTGGTTGTCAGAAACCAGGCTCTTTCCTACCGTACTTTGATTAAGACTTAGTTGTAATTGACTTCGATAATTGTTCACCAAATTTTGAAAATAATATCCGTGCTATTTCTATTTTTCACTTTATAAACATTCTGTACGAATAAGCGCAGGAAAGAAAGGCTTATAGAATTATTAACAAACAGTTCAAAAACTCCCACTACTGTGTTAAGAATTACTTTTTCAAGAATCCCATTAAAACAAAATATAAAGGGGAGAACAATTCTTGAAGTTTCAAAAGAATGAAATTAAAAAATATGTTTATCCAGAAAACAAAAAGAAAAATGCTTTTTTAAGATTCATTCTTCATGTTAAGTTGCTACGTATTGCTCACTCTAACGTCTTCAAAATTTTTAACTTTATAAAAACATGATCAGGTCGTTGTTTATACGCATTGTGGCATTTTAAAGAAGGCGATGAACAAAACGCCAATTTAGGAGTGAAAAACAGGGGGATCAAAAAAGGAATTTGTGTGAATCCATGAAAGTAGTGTTATTTCAAATACTTTTTGTTACGTAAGAAATCGGTTTAGTTGTAACGCTTTCTGAACAGAAACCATTTTTGATCAAAAATAAAAAAAATTAAATTTTACAAAATTTTATATGAAGCAGTTTTGATTATTTGATAACAGTTAGACGTTTCTTGTTTATAAATTTCTTTAATAGTTTTGTTTATTTATTTTTAGTTGGAGTGAACTTTGGGGAGACCAAGGATACATAAAGATTCGACGGAATAACAATAACAGATGTGGTGTTGCATCTTTTGCATCGTACCCTGTTATTTGATTAGATTCATCAGTTAAGAAGAAAAGTTAACGAAACTAAAAATTAAGTTATATATATATTGTTTAGACTAAGTAAATAAATATTTTTCCATGTATTCTGTTCCTGCTATTTGAGTCGATTCATCTGCAACAAAAGCAGAAGCAAAGTCGATGAATCTAAAAATTAAGCTGAAAAATACGCTTATTGAATTACCCAAATAAATGCATCTTTCATTGTATATCTTGTTCTTGTTATTTTTATCAAGTCATCTGTAATAAAAATAAAAGAAACATTAAAGAATACGAAAATTAAGCTGTAAAATAAAGTATCGATTTATTCAAATATTTGCATTTTTTGCTATATAGAATCGATAATCGTTCTTATAATTAGAATCGATTTATTTGTAACACAAAAGCAGAAGAGAAGTTAATTAATCTAAAGTTAAGATGAAAAATACGTATATTAGTTTGTTTAAATAAATATATTCAATCTTATTATTAAAAAATTTCGAATAATAAATTCTGATATTAAAAAAATAAATTTCACGATAATATTATATGGACTTTCTTATCTAATTATTTATTATTATTGAAAATTATTTTTCTTAAATCGAATATGTTCCAAACTTAAAAAGAAAATTATTAACATACAAAAATCTCAAAAATAAAATGGTTATTAAATGCTCAAACTGTAAGTTAATATAAATAAATTAAAGGCTAAGGTAAGAGAGCATATTTCTACACGATGGCAATAACAATGCCTGAATCGAATTATAAACGATACTAATTAAATAACTCATAAAATGTAAGTAATGTAAGTACACGACGATAAAGGAAATTCAAAGATCAGATAACACAAACAGTTGAGAGAATAAGGGGTAGTACTAAATGGAAGAAAAAAAGACATAGGGGGACAGCGAGACATTTTTTGGAATCTTATTTATCAGAGTTCATATGGCGACAGCATCTAGTGAAAGAAAAGAGACTGTTTTGAAAATATTTTGAGTTACGTTTTGAATATAACTCTATATCGGCTCATTTTCCACCGAAATCCGATTGACTACTTTGATTTTAAATGAAGTGTTTTGAATTTTTAGATTTTAAATAAAGTGTTTTGAATTTTTAGATTTTAAATAGAGTGTTTTATTTCATGATTTGTCACAAAAATTTTAGGTGTAGATTGGCGGCACTTAAAAACCGCCAAATCTGTAGCTGCGGTGGCATTAATACGTAGGTACCATTTCGTGCACCCAAAAACGTTTCTGCACTGCCAGCTTTTTTCTTTTAAAATAAAGTAAGAAGTTTGAGACAACGATTATCATCCGGCATATTTAAAGTTTGCAGGAAAAAATCACAGCAGAACACAAACAACTGCTCACTCAAGCCCAAAACATTGAATGAACAAGGACGAACGATATCGGACAAGTGAAAAAACAATTGCTTGAACGATCCGGCAACGACATTGTCGTTCACACATTTGTCGTACGATTTTGTCGGTATCGTGTCGTGTAATGAAAAAGTGCCCTTAGGTTTAAAAATTATTCTGGGTAATTTGTTCACGTTTTATTTGCACACAACTTACTACTAAATAATTGTACTTTTACTGTTTAAAAAAAATCAAGTATTTATTTATACAGTAGTTTTTTAAGACATAAAAGTGAAAACTTGAAGCATGAAGTAAAAATAAATTGGCTTGTAGGATCAGTTCTTCATGAAATCTGGTTTTTAAACTCCTCTTATCTACAAAAATATGCGAAACCTCACATCTAATACGCTTACATGTTTATATTTCTTTTACAGAATGCACATTCGTTTCGATATAGTAAATTTTGTGTCATGCGCATTCGGTACCCGAATTCCCCCTCCCTTGTCAGGAAAAATAAACAAATCACGAATGTTCTGTTAGATACTTATGTAATATTTATTAAAACAACAGGAGCATTTTTATATTGAAACAAAAGTCTGTTCGCGAAGAGATGATAAGGAAAAGGAATGTTGCAATCATCGGAAAATTTATTGGAAAATATATTATTATAATTTGCCATTAATAGGAAAATGAATTTTGAAATACCACTTTTGAATTGTTATTTTATGAAGAAATACCTTTGTTTTAACTCTATGATGTTTTTAATATAATAAAAAATAAATAGAAATACTTTTGTTTCAAATATTAAGCAATATTTTACCGGAAATTCTGCATTGTCAATAGACTTCCACAGACTATCTATTGTTGATTTAGCAATAATAAGAGCAGTCTACCCTCTGGAAAGGTAAGTTTTATTGATAGTAAGATTTTAAGTAAATGTGCGATATTTTTTGACGGTCAACGATTTGAAGCCAATAAGAAATTTCCAAATTAAAAATATTACAATAAATTTGTAACTATTTCTAAACTTTAAGGAGGGGACACTTGTGATCGTCTAACTTTCTTTTCTAGGTAAACGTTTTTATTATAAGGTAAATAAAACATACATAATTATTTTTACAATGTTTAATAATAGGCATGTTCATGTTATGAATTTGTCTCGATAACTTCTTCAGTTTTGATTTCTAATTTACAAAATATTGTCTATAAAATTCCCTTTTGGCTTTCCTTTTTTTAAATATGTCTAACAAAAAGGAGACATTTAAAATAAAAAATGTTTAATTGCTTGATAAAAATATAAAAGTATTCAATTTGCTTAGGTATAAATCAAACTATACTGTAAAAATTATTTGGCCAAACTTTACGGCAAAAAGTACCGGCACTCAGAATGCCAGTACTTTTTACAGTAAAATCCGTTTTCTTTAATTTTTTTTAAACATTTTATGGAACAAAAAGTTTGGTGAACCGTATTTTTTATTCTGTAATATTTACTGCAAAATCTTTGAATAATTGTAATTAAATAAATATTACCGTAAAACGTATGGTGTGAAATTTTACGGTTAAAATATAAGCAGGAAATAGTTGTTTAGCAATCAATATTTTTTGGCAACCACTGCTATGTTCCTTTTAAAAATGAGTTCTTATAAAAATTTTAAGGAGTTCAGGCTTTGAATGAATAAACTAATGGAAGGTATCTTCAGTGCTAAATATTATTCAAAGTGACTTATCATACTAAAAAAAAATATATTGAATAAAGTATTACTTTTATAGAATTTGTTACCACATTAACAGTTAGACCATTTTCCGAATAATTAGAGAGTTCAACACTGATTTGGAGATCAGTTCTGGATAAAAAAAAGTTTCAGTCACTTTCTGAATATATATCATAGAATTCATAATAAATTAAAAATTCCGGCATTTTCCTTCTAGCTAGAAGTTCCGAAATTTAACTTGGCTCTTAGCAGGAAACGTAATCAGGTTGTAAATATTTACTATATGAAGCATGAAATTTGAAATTATGGACTTTCCGACTTAAAGAAAATAACAAAAACTAAACTAAAAAGAAGAAGAGAATTTAATGAATTAAAAACTTTAGAAACTATATTTTTAAGTAGACTTAGAAAGAGTTTCGTCATGCATGACACAAAAAACGTAAAGCACATCTCTTTTGTAAAAAAAAAAAAGAAAAAAAAAAGTAAAAAAAAAAAAAANTTTTTAAAAAAAAAAAAAAAAAAAAAAAAAAAAAAAAAAAAAAAATGCAGGAAAATTCGTACCGAAAATTTCCAGCATTTTCTTCAAAAATGATGCGATCTACGTATTTTGTTCAAAGTCTAACGTCTAACAAATATAATTATTACCCCCTTTTGCGCCTACTTAAAAAATGCAGTTTTCAAAATTTTAACTTTATTTTATTATTTGTTCATATCAAAGATACCTCACTGAATTCATGGCATCTTAATTTGATAAACATCAAAGTAATATTTGCTTTATCATTAGAAAAACTAATTCTTAAATCTGATTATAAGACCATCTATTTTGTTTTAATTTTCAGTTAGAATATGAAGCTGCTTGTTTTATTCTTTTTTGTACTAATGGTCATATCAGTTGAGTTAATTTTTATCGATCCCATTTACAGAAACATTTGGGCTGAATATAAGGTCAGTATTCTTTGTTTTTACTTTAATTAACTTGTGCACAAAATTGCATTTATATTTTTTGTGGCAAAACGATAATTTTTTTCTCATTCTCTTCTGTAGCGCAAATACAAAAAGAAGTATTATTCTAATGAAGAAGAGGTCTTTAGACGACGTGTATTCGAGGATTATGTTAAGGATATGTGTGTACACAACATAGAACATGAACTTGGATTTCACAAGAAACGTCTTGAAATAAATAAGTGGTCTGATAGGGTAAAATAAAGTATCTTTTTTATCCATTAGTTTTCTTATAATATCAGTTTCTTAGCTATTTGAAGCGTAATTTTTATAAGACATATTTTTCATTTTTCTTTATCATTTTGTATTATATTGGGCAAAATAAGTTTAAAAAATTAATGTAGTTAAAATAATTAAAAAATAATAAAATAATTAATAAAATTTAAATATAATATAATAGAAGCATTTTAATAATTTATGGTTATGAAGTACTGGATGATATATCAGCGTCTTTTTTTTTTGCGTTAAAGGTAAAATCTTCTAATCAAGCTCACTTCCACATAATTTCCCAAATTTACACTTATATGAACTTATTCAGGTTTAAAAGAAACAGTTATTCATTATTTATATTTCTAGAATTCACAAAATCAACTACTGATTAATTTTTGAATATAAATAAAATAAAATAAAAATACATATTATATATTTTTGCACAATATTTTCGATCATTTTTAATTGGACAACAATTTTTTAAAATTTGAGGGAAAAAAATTATTTGCCTTAAATTTTCAAAAAAAAAATTTATGCAATGTTTCAACATTCTAAAAGAATGCAAATTTTTTGCCTTATCCATAACTAAAAATATTATTTTATTTCCTTACTAAAGAATACAGGACGGGATAGACTGGTTTCTAGGGCGTTGGGCCCATGTCCAAGAGGTCGTAAGTTCGATCCCGACTGTCTTCCCGTGTAGTAAATGGTGACTGATGCACGTTAAATCTGTAAGATCACAAAATCCTCTAAGTTCCCAAAACAAATCAAAACCTCAGAGAGTACTGAATTAGAGATAGATCGTTCTCTGGTCCAGGTCAAAATTCTGTAGATGAATGATTGGATGTATGAATGGATCCGCCCTTTAAAAAACCGGTGGTGACGTGTGTGTGTGTGAGTCTGAAGTCGCATTCTTGGTCACAGATGGCGCCACCGAAAAACAAGTAACGCACCCTCTGCCTGAAATTCGCTTGATTTCATCAAGCAGGCTTGTTGGATAAGTAGCATCAGAAATCAATATTTCTCCTGTCACCTTTGCAAGGAAAGAGAAAATTCTGCAACATTTGTTAAATATTTCGAATCGCGGTATTTTTTCCTCTGGACAACACAAGTTAAGAGACCCTACAAGCTAGAATGATGCCATAAAAAGCTTTCACTTCTTCTTCCCCACTAAAAATTCCTTTCTTTCAATTTCACCCCTACATTCAACATAGCTGGGTAAAAACAAATTTAGTCATTGAGGTGTTTATATTAATCAAACATTTATTCAAACACTTGACAGATGACCTATTGTGAATATTAGAGTTCCTCATAAGGCCTGGTGCCATATTGGTATGTATTGCTGCTTTCTTTTTTTCTGTGCATCTCAGGAGATTTACCTTCAAGGAGGTTTTACCCCATTTCTTATCAAGTGACGGGGAAGTATTAGGAATATAAATCTAACAATTGTAAGTAATTGAAGAAGTGACGCAGGATTAAAAGCGTCTCTTCGATATCATATGACTAACTTGAATGTCTTCGTAAATAAGAAAAACATATTCATTCAAACTTTTTCATTTTTTCTTTCTATATTGAAACAAAAATATTTTTTCTGAAGATTAAATAAATATCAATGCAAATAATAATAATTTATTGCTTAATTATTTCTACATCAGTGCAATTATTCTAAAAATCCTTATCCCGTGAATCCTTTCCGTAAACGGAAAACTCTCGTAGGTCAAAAATGCCGGATTCCGGGAACCGTCAAATCAAGTAACTGTGCCTTCAAATTAGTGATTGTTACATTTTTTTCTGTCCCAAGAATGTCCGAGGTTTGGACATCGGTGATCCACTTGCGTCAAAGGAATAAGCGTCCTCTTCCCCCGCCGTCTTGAATTCAAAGTTAAAATTTAGATTTTCTTTTTTTCTAAGAGGTTTTGATAAATTTTTCCTTCAGCTATACAAAATATGGGAAATGAAAACTTCTAGTTTGGAAAAAAATAGCATCTCCGCTAATATAATATAGTAATTTAAGACGTATATTTGAGCAAATGTAAATTGTCTGTGCAATTACACTAGCAGATTTGTCTGTTTTTAGATCTTTGATAATTTTACTTAATTAAACTGCAATAGTAGATCCTAAAACATGATTAAAACATGCAGTAAAACTATCATAAACTTATTGTTCTAAATTAATTTTGCAAGTCTTCAATCTGTGACTGACATTGAAGAATGTTATAACTTAACAATAAAAAAAAAGTTTTAAGTTCAATATTTTTTTTTTCTTGTTTGAGTAGATGGCTGAAGAATTTCCAAGACCCAGGAAGTTGTCGAAGCTATAGTAACGATAAATTGTACTGAAGAGCCTGAAATTACAACAAGAAAGCCTCAGGAAAAATACCATATGGATCACTCAATAGATATAAAAATAACCATAGATGAGGAAACTGGAATAAAATATGTTGAAAAATTATCTATCCTCACCTCCCCTTAAGTTATTGTTGTAATCCTTTAATCTGTAACTGATACTGAAAAAAAAAATGTCTGAAAAGTGTTCAGAAAAAAATCAAAAAGCTTTGTTGAGGAATATTCTTTTTTTTTTTTTCATTTACTAACTTTTTATTGAATTTTACTATCGTTTTAGCTCTTACTAGCGTTGCTAACATTTTAGTGAATTTAAATAAACTAACTTTAAAGCTTATGTGTTACTTTCATTTTTTTTCTCTTTCATTTAATCTATATTTTTTTCTCAGTACTTTTGTAAAGGAACTAACAAAAGGTGGGGAAAATCTTGATATAGTCTTAACTATTTTAATAAGAATAGAAAATTTACGCTGCTATAGTTTGCCTTGCCTTATGTTTAGTTAGCGCAAAACTTGTAATTCATCTTCTTTGGAAGATTATTATTAACTGTAGACCCTATTGCATATCTGGATTTAAGTTTTATTATAGTTGTAACTATTTTAATAATAAGAAAAATTCTTTAACGTTTTCAAAAGTTTAAATTTTTCCACCATTCAAATCATAACATTTGCTTTACTTTTTGGTTGGAAGAATATTTTAATGATTGCGGTGCATATTTGAATACATGCTGATAAGACATAGCCTTCATTATTTAAAAAAAGAAAGAAAGAGAACTAATTTTGCACTTTCTTTAGTTTGCATTGCATGTTTCCTATTCAAATAGCGTAAAACTTGTTTTATTTTTTGGGTGGATGAGGATTCTAACGAAAATTGAAGTGCTGGCTTGGTAATTGGGTATACGTTGATATAGTCTTCGTTTTAATTAGAAGAAATTTTTAACTATTTCTATAATTTATATTTTCTTACTTTGAAACAACGGAAAAATTGTTTTACTTTTTAGTTAGAAGAAGATTTTAACACTAATTGAATAGCTTGATTTATATAGGTATTTATTGATACTGTTTAAAGTATTTCAATACAGAGAAATCATTAATGATTTCTATAATTCGCATTTACTCTCCTTCAAATAAAGTGGCTTACTTTTTGGTAGGAAGAATATTTTAGCAACAATTGGTTTGTTGCTTGATGCTTTTGGGTATCTATTGATATAGTCTATATTATTTTGATAAAAAGAAATCTTTAACGTTTTCCATAGTTTACATTTTTTTCCTATTCAGAAAATATAAAATTAGTTCTATTTTTTGGTTGAAAAAACACTCCAAAATCAATTGAGGGATTTTGTGCAATGACTAAGTAAATACACATTTAATAGTTTCTGATGTAACCTAAATGAAATTTCGAAAGGTAATGGGTTTACATAGTTTTTCCCCAAATTATTTACCATACAGGAAAAGGACTGATTTTATGCTCGCGCTAGTTGAAGCAGTTACATTGTCCGCAGAAAATGTAATAAAAATAGGGACCTTAATTGACTTTTATTACACAGGACTCTTCCTTTTTTTTCTACAGTGTGGAAATTAAAGAAAAAAATACCCATAACATACTTAAGTGTAACTGTTTTATTTTCCTTCTCAAAGACTGTTAATGTCTCTCACTTTAAAACAAAACCTATTTACAGTTTAAGACCAAAATAACGCGACAATGTAAACACATTTTGATAGACTTAATGAAGAAAAGTAATGTCAGAACCTTCCTTAAGCGGACAATGCGAAAATTAATGGATCTTCGTAATTATCCCACTATAGCGTAAGAAGAAAGAAATAAAAAAATTAAATTTCGAAAAGAGCAGTAAACAAACTGACCATTCATTAGAAAATTTTATACATAATTACTTAACTAAAAATAATTAATGATGACATTAGAGATGCATTTTCATAACTAGTTCAGCCCCGCAATTTAAACAAATTTACAAAAGTGTTACAATAATTTTAAGAAAAAGCAATAGATTATAAGAATTTATCAATATCAATCAAACCATCAATATTAAACCATTAGAATCAAATTTAATTGTTAAAATGTTTTGAGTAGTTGTTTTTAACAATAATAATCAACTATAAAAGACCGCCTCGTTTCAGATTTAAGTGAATCTTGTGAGTTTTAAAAATAAGAATCAGACTCAAATATAAATGTCATTAGGTTCAGCAACAAGCAATAAGTAACCCATTAAATTTGCTCACTATATAAAGTTTTTGAATGAATAATGTAGTATGTGTTTACAAGATTAAAATTAATGTATTTTAAAAAGTAAGAAACTTATTTACTTGAAGCGTTTTAAAGAGCACACTGTTTTTACGCGAAAAAATAAAAGGGATAAATAATACTTTGTGAATCATATTTTTTTTATTTAAATGATTAAAAATATCTTACATTCATTACCCCAGTTCAATGCTTACCACAAAGATAGGTCACTATAGAATATTTTATTTAAGATGAATATTGAACGTAAATACTTTACAAATGCTGATTTTTTTATTTCTATTTAAATTGAATTAAAAACTAAACAGTAAATATAGCTATTTTAATTTTTAACCGTCGTGTTGAAAAGTCGACCCAATAGTTAGAGTTTATGACTACCAATGTTCCACTCCGTAGCCTTGTAATTTTGAACCCAATCCGAAAGACAAGGGAACTCCTGGATCAAGTATTGGGAGACATTTTCTTTTGTGGAGGACTTTTTTGGTGGAACTAACCCACATTTGCGTTACGTGGTGAAGAATATCACGAAAAACTCCCACGCTTTTAGTCTGTCTGCAAGGGGACTCTACCCCATGGTCTGTCTAAAACTACGGATATTTTCAAGTCAGCACTGTGGCCAGTGCAAGTCAGGTGGCGAAATTCGTATTGACCAGTCATCGCTGGGATTCGAACCCGGTTCATCTGATTGGGAGGCGAGCTCTCGAACCCCTGAGCCCCCATGTTTCTAAATATATTCATTTAATGTAATTCTATAGTTTTAAAGCAATGTACAATAGTTTAAAAAATGTTTTTTTTAATAAGTGAAAAAGTAAGTGGTACACTAGACGCCGAAAATAATAAGCCGTAATTTTACTGGTTCAAAATTTGAAATAAGGTGCCCCCTTAGGCTTTATTTGTTTCTACCTACAGAAATAACTCAACTAATTTCGAGTTATTTGCAAACATATGAATGAATAAATTCTTAAAAACTTTCCTTTTCATACAGGTAGAAAAAAATTGAAGAAAAAATGAATAATTTTGAATGAAGGATTATTTTAATTTAATGAGCAATTATAAAATTATTCTTTAATGTACGAATCAATAAGTAAAGCTAAAATCAATAAAAAGACTTTATGCTATTTATTATATCTTTCTTCAAAATCTAAATAAATATAAACAATATTATTTTCATATGTAATATTAACACTTTATTGACTATTTTTCGAAATAAATGGATTTTTTTTAAATGATTTAATGGGTTGTTATGAAATGATACAATTAAATGTACGATTTATTATAAACACTTCCTTTAAAATTGAAGAAATTATATTAAAAGGTTTGTAATTTAATGAGAAGACTTCAAGAGAAACAGGGAGTTGTAGTTAAGACAACTTGTGACACATGCACTTAATTTTCTTATAATCAGTAACATACTTTGATAAAACTAACTTTCTCACCACCAATCTTCCACATTAGCAATCACATGATTCTTTGTGTTCAAAATATTTCTGAAAACTTGAATGACGACCAGCGAAATACACCTTGTTTGTTGATTTTCTTTTATCTACTGACCAACACGTAAATAAGAATAGAATAAGATAAGAGGGAATTCACATGGCTTTAAACTAGCAAAAACTCAAACTTAATCACGAGACCTGATAATAATGTGTCAGATGAAACTGACAATTTCCCGCTCTAACTAGTGATCGCACTATAAATACCATTGCTAAATCATACCCATTTTTAGAACTTTCCTCATTTCTTTGGATAAGTAAGCTAGAAAGGTAAGCTAATACCTTTATGTGTTTAGTTATATAGCATTGTTTTTAGGTAGATTCGAAGGTAGAAAATAACTTCTGTAGCTCTAAATAAGTATATAATATTTATTTAGGACTTTAGATGTCTATTAAGATATTTAATTTTAACTCTGAAATATATTGTATTAAAATTACTACATAGAAAGTATTTTAAGTAATTACTTTGATAACTAAATAAATGCATAATATTTTTTTAGAGTTTAGATATTTATTTAGGTATTTGCTTTTAACTCTAAAATATATTTTATTAAAATTACTAAATGGAAAATAATTTAAATAATTACTTAGCTAACGAATTTTTTTGTAAATAGTTTTCATTTTCATTTCATAGTTGTTTTTTTTCTCGGAGATTCATATAATTATTTCTCTGCATATTTTCCAGCATTACCAAGAAATTATAATTTGATTTAATTAAAAACCATAATAAATTTTTTGTATTACAGTGCACGCCTTATGCGTTAATTTTTTTAACTATCTTTACTGTTTATAATATATATTGCTTATTGCTCAAATCTAAAAGCAAAGTAATAAGTTTTAAATTCTTTCATAACTTTTTTGCTTTGCATGAAAGAAAACAGATTTGTTTGTCTGGATAAATTATTAATTCAACCGATTTTCTAAATTTAAATTTTCCTAATTTATTTGTATATGGCTGCAATGAAAGAACTCTTGCTTAGATTGTATGAAATTAAATTAAACGAATTTCGATTAAGCTCTAATACCCTTGTTTTTACAGATAAAATTTATGTTTGAACCATTCGACAGTCTTTTTAGTCTTCTACGTCTTTTTAGCTCTTTATCTCTAAACACGTTTTCAAAATATACATCTTGGAAATAAACCATGCGATAACTCATTAAATAATTGTTTTAAATTTTACAAACAAATTAAAATTTTTTATTAAACTGTGCAATGCATTTATTTGTGCAGCGTCTTTTCCTGAATTTCATTCATATTTATTTGCAACCACACTAAAATAAACAAATTCACATAATTGTTAGTATTTGTATAAAATTTTTGCACTAAAGTTTTTATAACAAATCTGCTTCCTCCCTACTTCGAAATTAGAAAAATATTATTTTTAAGCTGTAATACATTAATATCATGTATTAATTTTCAATGCTATTTAGGAATTAAAACAAAAAATTCAAATTTCAAAATTTTGTCTCCAAAGGTTTTCAGATATCTAAAACAATGATTTTTTTTTATCTCTTTAAAATACGTTAAATCAGCACCTCGAAATACGTGTTTACGAAAATGGACACAGTTCATACATACTAACTAAGGTAAACAACGTTTAGGAGCACAAAAATATTTTTATTTTACAGTTCATACACGTTTTAGAAAATTGACACTGCTCAAAATCTGTGTTTAAGAAAATGGGCACTGCTGGAAATGCGTGTTTACAAAATGGACATAGCATTTGATCCCGTTTTTTAAATTTACTTAATAGCTATTGTTTTTTTTAAAGAATAAGTTTATGAATTGTAAAATCGTAATATTATTTTGCCCAGCTGAATGAATCACTTGATACATTTCTCAAAACATACGCACTTTATACTCGTCATCTTCCTTCAGAATATTCCACAGTCACAAAAGCAAAGAAACTAACTTTTAAAGTGTTAACGTTTGCGTTTTTCAAGCAAAACGCAAACGAGATTTTAAATTCATGAAAAAGAAATAAAGAATATTAATTAATAATTTATGACGAATTTCAAAAGCTCTTTAAAAATTCCTATAATAAAGATAATTTTTAAAAAAAATATTGAAATCTATCGCTTGTGAAATAAAAGGCAAAATGAATTTTAAATATATTTTTTCCACCTCACAAATAAAGGTAAAGGCTATTTAACTTCCAATTTATTTTTTGTGATCTTTCGAACTCTACCCATTTATAAGTTTAAATTTAAAATATATGGTAATTATTTATTATTACAACATAAAATAATGAAGTACGGACTTTTTATCGATCTAGAAAAAATACATTTTTAATTCTTTGTTTCAAAATTAGAAAATTAATTCATTTTTGATTTTTCTTTGCTAAAGTAATCAGTGTTTTTACCTTCCAAGTGAATTTTTCTGCGGTAGTGAAACTATGCATTATAATTATTTAATTATTTCTTAAAAAAGTAAGTTATTAATAATTCTAAATTAATATTAAGAAACTGTAATAAAATAAATATATTTAATGAATATAATAAATTAATACAAATAATGAATAAACAAATTACAAAATCTTTAAAACTTTTAATGAAAAAAATTTAATCTTAATTCCAAATTGTTTGCTCTTTACTAAACTTTTTTATGTTCTGGTAAAGTTAAAAGCATTACAGTTAATTTTTATACAACACGAGAACATCAAATGAATAATTTACAAACAATTTAATAATTTTAACAATTCGTATGAGGAAAACCTGTTTATTTGGTTTAACTGAATTAGGAAATACTTGTTGCTATACTATTATAGTTAAGTTTGGTTTGTACAATACGTTAGGAGGTTCAATATTTTGTGATTTCTAAGAATTTTCAAAGTTCTACTTTCTATCTTGCAGATTATATCATGAAGCTCATCATATTATTTCTGATGTTTGCTGCAGCAGCATGTGGTCCAACAGTTTACTCACCATTTGATTCTGAACTGAATGAATTTTGGGAAGCTTTTAAGGTAAATATATAGAAGTACATTTAATCTTTAACACTAATATATGAAAGAGTTTAATTAATTACCAAATAATGAATTCGCACTGGTTGAATTATAAGTTGTGAAAACCGGTGCAATTAAATAATCAATTTAATTATCAGAGATTCGGTTGAAATTATAATCCATATCTTGATTCAAATTTTTCATGAGAAGGACGATAAATTTGGCCAACTACAAGTATAACAATCATGTGTCTGATAAAAGCGTGAACTAGCATACAAGAACAAAATAAACGTGCTATAAGAATCCAAGTCTGATATAAGCTTTTAAAAGTAAATATTTGTTTACTTGGTTATGCTGTCTTTTAACTCTTGAATAGCTCCATTAAGCAAAATAACTTTTTTTAAAGTTATTTTTCGTTACCTTACAATGAATTTCTTACTGTTTTAGATCTGAGTAGTCTTTTAAATTAAATAAATTTATAATAGTTGAAGTTCGTTTCGTTTTGGCGAAAAATCTTATTACAAATAAAATTCTTTGGCTCGCATAATGTATAATAGCAATTAAGAGCACAGTTTGATTTCCTAATTTAAATTTGATTAAATTTGACTTGCTAAACAAGTTGCTAATTAATTATCCATCAAACGCGCCATAGAGATAATGAGCCTATTCTTATAGATGTTGGTATATGTTGTAAAGAAGATTTTAATTACAAAGTCACAAATACCATACCAACATGTGAGATACAAAAATTTATTTTCCTCGCACTTAAGAAATCTAAGTTTATGCTTACATATTGTCTTAATTTTTGATTTGACTATTATAAAGCTCGGAATACTAGAAATTCTAGTTATTTAAAAAGATTGACCAACTGATCACCGGAGGTGGCCAATTATTTACAAAATAGTCTCCTTAAATAATTGAAATTATTGTCTCGACTCATTGCTTTTATTAAAATAAAATGAATCAATACGTTCGCTAATCAGTTTATGAAGTTCAATGTTTTATTTCTTATATTCGAAGTGAAGTGCAATCACGAATTCATTCTTAACTTAATCTGCCTACTAATTAATTTTCGGAAACTTTTACTGTAACTAGAAATAAATTTTCTATTGAATGCGGGAAAAGGAATTTATTAAATTAATAACATGGAAGTAAGCAGCCGTGCAGCACTAATAATGAACTAAATTAAGCTTTTAAGAAAAAGAAAAATGAATTTAGTATAAAATCAAAGCAATTAATACGTTATAGCAATAATAGTAATAATAATAATATAGGATGCCAAACATTTAAAAAAGTTTTTTTTTCGAATGTATTAAAAACATGAATACAAACATTTTTTTCAACTTCATTAGATTTCTCGATTTGGTTTTTGAAAAAAGCATTTTAATGATTTAATTTAATTTAATTAATTTTAATGATTAACAGTATTTGAAAATATAGTTAAACATTGAAGTTAGCAAACCTCAATTACTTGTTGTCCGTATGTAAGATGAACAAAGTCTATTTTATGGTCTACTGCTGTTTATGCAAAATTTAGCATATGCTAAACACTTAATGAAATATGTTTTAATAAAATTATTATTATATGTAATATATTATATGTAATATATTATACATAATATATTTTATATAATAATTATACTTTTGAATATTAGGGGGACCGGAAAGTAATGTCGCTTCAGACCATTAAATACGTGTTAGTCTTAAAAACCAATTCATTTTTTTATCCATTTCGATTCATTTTTGATCCGGCATTGAAAGGTTGCTGCTGACGAGGGTGAATACATTATTGATCAAAAATAAAATATTGATAACAAATATCAAATATCAAATGCACCGAAAAGACATTAGTTTCCGGTCCCCCTAATATAATTTGACTAATATATAGGAAGAAAACATTGAAGTAAAATTACTGTACTGCAAGATAATGGCACTTTTAGTGAAGCAAAAACCATAATTCTGGTTAATAAAATCAAAATATACTGCATTTAAGCCATTAATTTTTGTGATTTTTCCGTTCATTTGGTTCGGTTTACCAAAAATTCTAGCTTTCAAAAATATAGTTTTTATTACCACGTATTTAGTAAAAAGTACAAACCTGAAAAGTAAATTTAATCTAAAAAATGATTTTTATCCTCTACCATAAGATATCAAGATAGAATTACCGAATTTTAACCACATTTACAAAATTTTACCACATTTACTAAAGCGCTTCGGGGAAAATTACTGAGCTTTTTGGTGTTCCAATGCCGAAAAAAACACGGTAAGTTTTACCATATTCTGCCAGCTTTGATCACACTTTTTTCTCAGTATGCATAAACTATAAGTTAGTTTGAAACTGATGCCTCTTAGAAAATAATAATAATTTTTTATGCTTCTAGCTAATTTTCAATAAATCATACAACTTGAAAGAAGAATTATCTAGACGGCTTATTTGGGAACAAAAAATAGCAGATATTGTTCGACATAATCTTCACGCAGATTTAGGTATTCACTCTTACAGGCGAGGAATCAACAAATTAACAGATTTGGTGAGTCAATATAATTCAATTATATATCTGAATAAAAAATGTGTAAATGTATTTTATTTCTCTGTTACAAATATATTATGTGCATTGTAAAAAATTACGGATCAAATTAGAGTATAAAATACCGGAACTTTTGTTCATAACCCGTAAAATCTATATTACCGTAAAATCCATTTTGCCGTAAAATATTATACCGTAATTAATAATTAAAATGATTCAGTGATTTTACGGTAAATATTACTATAAAAATTACGATATATTAGATTTTTTGTTGCGTAATATGCTCAGGTAAAATTGGATTTTACAATAAAATGTACCGGAGTCTTCAATGCCGATACTTTTTACCGTAATTTGATCTGGAATCTCTTACAGTTCGCCTTTATCCGAAAACAGCATCGATTGAATAGTGTCATAAAATTTTCTATTTACCAGCGGCTTTATCTCAGTTACGAGAAATTTTAAAGTTATCAGTAAAAAAAAGGGGGGGTTGAAGTGATCTAGATTATGTAACCAGACATACTCTGTTCGTAACGGTGTATTGGTTAAGCTTGATTAAACAATGCTATGTTTCAACTTGAATGAAATTAAGGCTCAATTTAGCAGTGAAGGTGACAGTTAATTTGCACGTTGTTAGTATTTAATGTGGTTATTACATTTTAACCTTGGAACGATTTTTTTCCCTTTAGATGTATAAATTTGCCTACTACACTGTCAAAAGGGGTTTCTGAAAATTGAGCAAAAATGTGTCCAAATAGTTCCGAAACAAATACAGTCGAACATGAAAACCCCGTGTATTTATTATTGAGTGTTGGGACATGATCAAAATTAAAACAACTCTGGGAATCTGTCTTCATTTGTGAAAAAAAAATGGCGGCAAAGTAGGAAAGAATTTATTACCGATCTGAAGGCATTCTTTACTCGTAAAATAACTTTGAAGGTAAATACAGATTATCCTATTAGACCTACAACATGTCTAGTTAGATTTTCTTTAGAAAATTTGATCGTTATAGTCGAATAAGGTTTGAACTTTGTCACATTTTAAGATAATGTGTCACTTTTTCATGTTCTGCCATTATTGAGACTATTCAAATTTTGGGCTAGCCAGTTTACTGAATAATGAGTATTAAAATTCAACTGCTATTTTCTTCTGAGTAGCTTAACTCAATTTTGAGAAATTCTTTTTTAAAGTGTACAAATACAATTAAAATCAAACTCACAGAAATAAAAAATAAAATTATACTCTTTTTTTGTGAAATAGAAAATTTTTGTTTTAAAACTTGAGGAGGTATCCATCTTCAAGAAGTTAAGTTAGTATCCTCAATGTTTTTTTTTTTTTTTATATATATATACTTTCAGAAACCAGAAGAGTATAAAAGACTGAATGGCTATCGAGGTCAAAGTAATTCCATCGGGAATGCAACTACCTGGTTATCGCCCATGAACGTAAACATTCCTGAAAGTATAGACTGGAGAGCAAAAGGATATGTCACCGAAGTTAAAGATCAGGTATAAAAGAAGTTTTATGCATTACTAACCAACAAAAGTGCTACTCTTAACCTTTTGGTGCAGAATTTTTATTAAATATATTTCTCACATTTCATATTAATTTTAATTAATTTAGGTCAAAAAATAAATGAAAATTTTACATGTAGCATTTTAATAATTTATGGTTATGAAATAAATAATGAAACACCCGTGTCTTTTTCTGCGTTTAAGGTAAAATATTCCAAACACGGTTTACTTCCAAACAAAAAATTTTTTCCAATTTTCAATTATTTAGATTTAAGAGTAACGATTATTTATTACTGAAATTTATTTATTTCACAAAATCAATTATTGATAAATTTTTGAATCTGAATGAAAAAATTTTAACCAACTTTTTTTGAATTTTATATTTTGGTACAAATATATATCCAATAATCTAGCAATTTTTTTTAGTATTTATTGGAAAGTTTTTTTTTGTTATAAAAAAGTACGAAAATATATCTCAGCTTGTAATTACAGTGTAAAAAAAAGATCTAAAAAGAGGCACCCGTGTCCCCTTTACGTCAAAGGGTTAAGTAGTCAGCACACTTTTATTTATAAACAACTAATGCTCCCCAAAATAAAAAAATAATAAAATCTAGCCAATAACAATTAATTCATCGTCAAAATATGCACTTATCATAAATTATAAATTCTTAGATACAGTGAAAGTCTGTTATAATGACAATTCAAAATAATGAATGGAATGGACGTAATATCAAGTTTGTCGTTATATAGAAATACACATGTTTTAAAGTTAAAATAGCAGTATAGAAAACTAAAAGGAGAATGTAGTACAATAGCTTTAGATGTCATTGATAACTTTTAATACTGTTCTCAACAGTTATCTGACATCTGATTTGATAGCAAATTTGCCAAGTTGGAATGCATAACGCGAACGGCGCAAAACTTAAGTGTTTCTTTTGATTGTTTATGTTTGCCTCATAAGTAGGGTAATCTCAGAAGCAAATCAAGGGTTTCTACTGGTACAGTTACGTAACAAGCTCTGCTTTGTGTGCGTTTGGGGAAGAGAAAAACTTCTTCGAGTGCTTTAGAAACGGTTTTTTCTTAAATCCAAAGCAAAAAAGAGGCCTTACGGACGGTTTGCGCTTTGGCTTTTTGATCGGTTGACAGTTATTTTGGCTACGTCACAAAAAGAGAACTTGACTAGTTGTCCATTGGTAGATATGTGATCAACAAAAAGGATTCTTTTAAGTATGCGGCAGATCACCTAAATATAGCAGAATAAATTTTCTTTTCCAAAGAGGAGAATAACTCCCAATCGGTCCCCATTTGCTCCTTAAACATTAAGAATTAATTAAGTCGGAAGGAAATGAGGTGAAATGACGATCACTTCCACTTCAGAATATTGATACTAGCAATTAAAAAAATATCTTCTATAATCTTCTATAATTTTTTTTTAAAATTGTGATAAGCGTACACATTTTTTGCCTCTTTAATAATAGCAATTTGACGGTCACTTGAAAAATTGTCATAATATCGGAGTTCACGAATTGTGCCATACACGCTACATCGACCTTTTCATATTTTTTATCGTTGTTTCTTGTTAAGTTTACAGTTAACTGCAATCAATTAATTGCAAATCTGTCATGTAATTTATTTATTTCATAGCTGTAAATCATCGAATGACAAAAATTCATGAAACTAAACATTTTTACTATACTTTTTTTAATTATGTAGAAACAATGCGGCTCTTGCTGGGCATTCTCAACAACTGGATCTTTAGAAGGACAACATTTCAAAAAAACTGGAAAACTCGTTTCTCTAAGTGAACAAAATCTCGTCGATTGCTCACATGACGAAGGTAAGAGCTCCGAAGTCTTATGCGTATTATGTTTAACTTCGTTTATGTTTCTACTTGCGTATTATGTTTAACTTCGAACCAATTACTCTGAAAATGTAGGTAAGCATTGGTACAAGAGAATGGTATTACTTCTTTGGTTTTTGGAAAAAAACAAATGCATAGTTAATTTTTCACATCCTCTGAAAACACAAATCATTTCATCAGTAGTTTGACAAAAGCTTAAAGCATTAATGATTATTTTCCAGCGCTTTGTAAATTCATTTTAAAACATTTCTCTGTCTTTGATATGTGACTTTCTATTTTTCTGTGTAAATAAATTATGTCATTTAAATTTGTTTAACGTTAATTAATTTTGAATATACTACACGCAATAATAAAAAAATTTCACTAAACATTATAAACAACCATTAATTTTTTAACTGTGAAAAAAGAAATAAGCAATTCGATCTCTTTTTTAGTTATTTTGAATTGCTAGATTGATCCATTACATCTGAATTTATCACTCTAATAATTTTCGTCACGTTCCTTTTTCATTACAAATCATGGGGGTTGCCCAAATAAAATGCGGTGTTAGCATCAAAATTTAAAATAACGATAGAAGTGCAATTTAATGTTATAAAGGAAGGCAAAAGGACTGCACTGCACAATGCATATAGCAGATTACCAAGTTCACATGAGAGTATTTAAAGTGAATGTAAGGGTAAACTAAGAAGGAAGCATTCTTAACATTAAAAATGGGAAGTAGAACGAATTTCTGCGGCAGAAGGAGAGCTCACCATTACTTTACTCTTGTCAGATAAAGCGTTACCCAAATGTCTCCCTAATTTCCTCCAATTATATCATCAACAGCAGGAAATGATATTATAAGAAATCATGGCGTTTTCTTGTCCTGGGTCTTATTCAGAGAAGATATTGATGCACGTCCTTCACGGAGATGCTTGCATCATTTGTTTGAATCCATTTTTTCTAAACCATGTTTTCCATAAATATCAAATATTTGACTATACATATCTTAACTGCTCTCACCTTGTACCACTAAAATTCGTACTAATCTACGTTTTAGTCGTGACGCATCATCTTAGTGCTGCTTTACATTCACTTTAAATACTGCATGATGGCAAATCAAGGATGATGATTAATCAGTTCACCGCAAACTCCAATGCACTCCTTTTATATTAATTTATAATCCTGAACAGTATAGCTGTTTTTACTATCATATTTCTATATCATATTGCATGAACTATCATGTATCAACACTTTTGAGTTTCACTATACTATTACAAAATAACTGTAGTGATTAATAGTAGTGTCTGCCATCGAGTTACAGAGTTATTTAAGTATATTTTGAATTTTGCTTTCTAATATCTATTTTATCTTAGGAAACTACGGCTGCAATGGCGGTTGGATGGATCAAGGATTCCAATATGTTAAAGTAAATCATGGTATTGACACTGAAAAATCTTACCCATATGAAGCTGCAGTATGTATCACATTATTTGCTATTTTGTTTTCCACGAATGGTATTTCACTTTTTTCGTTAAAAAAAAAAATCTTTAAAACATTATCAATTAACAAAACTTTTTAATTTTCAAAGTAATATTTTTTTGTCTATTAATATCACATTAATTATTTGAAATCATCCATGTTTGTAGTTTATAAATACACACTCAGTCCCTGCCTAAAATATTAGACGCACTATAAGAATCTATGCAAAATTTTAATTATCAGGTGATACTATACAGCTTTATTGCTTTTATGCGGCTGAAACCGGTTTGCATTTGTTTCCGTTCGTATATCAATTAATTAACACTGTAATGCATTATGTTACAAATAAATACAAATAGGAAGTATATTATATAAATATAGAATATTTATCATATCAGGTATTATATTAGTACATTATAATAATCAGACCAAATTATTAGACGCACTGTAGTTTTTTTAATAATTACATATTTTGCACGAGTTCGTATGCAAATACTTTTATATTTAAACATACATGTAACGGGTTATTGTTTAGAAGATTTTTTATATAGTTTGGTCTAATTTTATCCAATCGTCAAATTTACATTATATATCATCTAATTTATCAAATTGATACACGAACGTAAACAAGTGCAAACAGGTTTCAGTTCCGTAGAAACAACAATACTGTATAGTATCATTTGATAATTAAGATTTGACATAGAATTTTATAGTGGTAATAATTTGGTCAGGAACCGTATGTTTCTTCATTAGCATTAAAGGCTATTACACTAGTATTTTATTAAAAATTATTAGCATAAATTATTGTTAGAAAGCACATTATTAAGGTTTATTTTTGCTGGAGATATAGCCAGTTTAGTCTGGAGCATCAACTAAGCTCTTGCAAATTTTCAAAAAGGAATTCATTTTTTTTTTTATCCATTACAGTACACAATTAAAGAAGTTTTTAACAGTCAAAATACAACGTCACTGGTTCAAATATAATATTATAAATAAGAAAAAAGATCTATAACTAGTTTTGAGATACAGCAATACATACCCTATATTCACTTCACGTTGTAATTATATTGCGTATTAATAAAATAATTCAAATCCTAGCGGGTAACACAATTTAACAAGACTTCTATTTATAACTCTAGTTAAAGTCAAAATATTTAGATTTTTTAATCTTAATATGTATACAACTTTGACCTCATTTCTAACAAGGATTTTAAATATATATTAAGGAGAGTGATTACAGAACACACTATGTGCGCGGAAATTGCCCCTTAAATCGTTAACAAATATTTCTCATTTGAAAGCAATGAGTAATTTAAAGCTTGCAATTGATAAACAAATATTGACTACTTAGATTGCTACAGTCATTAATAATTAATCTTTAATATTGCGTTATACATATATGCATTATTATTTTTTGGAAAAAATGCTTCTTGCAGTGGATTTCCGCCCTTGTGAACCTAGAGTTCAATGAAATAGCTGATTCCTTGGCTGAAAATGCCAAAGATCTCAATCAAAATACAATCCCAACCACGCTGCAGATGCAAATGCTTTCGCAAAGTCAAGACTATTCACCCCTTTAAAAATCAAAGCCCACTGTCAAATAACTAATCTTGACATCGATAGGAAGGCAGCCACTACTCTCATCAGACTAAGAACAAAACATCATATAAACATGAAAATTTCTACAGATGGGACTAGAAAATATCAAAACTGTGGCAACTGTCTTAATGTGGAACTGACCATAACCACCTAGAGTAGGTGTTGAACTGACACCATATCATGTTTTTAACTGCCCTGCAGTCGCTGCAGGCCTTCACCTCTTAAAGTACCCCACAGAAGAGGATTTGTATTCATTTAATGCCATAGAAATAACAGAAACTATTCAAGCACACCATGAAATATGATTCAATAGAGGATACTACACCAACCGACCAAAACTGTAATAAAGAAAGTTTAAAAATGTTTTGTTAATATGTTAATAAGATTATGTTTATTATTTTCCTTAGGAAAAGAATTGCCACTTCAGAAAAAGAGATATCGGCGCCACTTGCACTGGCTACGTAGATCTGCCTGAAGGAGATGAAGAAGCACTAAAGAAAGCTGTAGCCACTGTTGGTCCTATATCGGTGGCTATAAACTCTGCAGGAGACTTCGGCTCTTATTCGTAAGTGCTTTTCAATTTTTTTTTAAAAATCATCATAAATTTGATCAAATATAAGTTAAAATATTTAAATATTTATTTTTATTACTTTTAAAGATCATTTGAAATATTTATAAAATTAGCAAATAAAACTGAATAGATTTCTTTTTTTTTTCTGTTTGTTGTTTCGAATAACACTTGACATGTTAAACTCCCTAGGCATTGGCGCTTTGAAGAATTAAGTAAAAAACGGACCGGGGTCCGATTCTCTGACCACTGGGTTGACCACTGGCTTGTGACCACTGGGTTAACAGTGTAAATTATTCTTTCTACACTGATCAAATTTTCATGATCAAACAATAAAATCTAATGGTGAAATAATGAAATCAAAGTTTCCTTAATATCTAAAAGGGTAAAATCCTGCAAAATAGTGAAGCAATTCATTCTCTTCATTAACTGATAATCTAGAACAATTTTCATACATCAGCAACAACTTTTTTTCTCCGAAAAACACGGGGAAAAAGCCATATTTCAACTTTCAATTAAAATTTAATTTCTAATATTCTCCTTTATTTTATTGGTCGTCGAAGATATAGTATGAAAAATATAATAAATAACTTCCACTTTAACTACATGATAAATTTATGATCATACTGACAATACAGTATTTTATTATATGTTTTTATTTGTGAAAAATAGGAGTGGAGTATATGATGTCACCTTCTGTCCAAACACAATAGCTGACCTCACTCATGGCGTCCTTGTTGTAGGTTATGGGACTGAAGGAGGAAAGGACTATTGGCTTGTGAAAAATAGGTAATACATTATTGTAATAATAAGCCTTCTAATAATTACTCAGTTAAAACTAATTAAATTTTTAGTTCAAACAATGCAAAACTTTTTCAGTGTCCAATAAAAATGTAATGTAAAAAAAATTTAGATTACTATAAAAAGAATACGTCTATAATAAATATTATTTGCATACAATTTCTTAATAATGCCACATACTAGTGTTGTTAGCAAAAAATTAAGTCAATGATTTTATTCATTCATATGTATATTTTCCCGAAAATCCATTTAACTGAAGAATAAAATCTGAAGTATATGTTTTCAGTTACTGTTATGTAAAGACGATTTCAAATAAAGTAGAATATTGACAAAATAGAAATAATAAAATACTGTAGAAATTCTTTTCTAAGAATAAGTAAAAATTTACGTTGGAAAATTGACCAGGTAAATTATTTTTTATCGTGTCATTTTTTTTTTTGCAACTTGAACTTTTGGTTTCACCCGTGTCAATAATGTTTTCTTCTTCACAAAAACAAGAAACCCATTTGAAGAAAGGCCGCATATTTTTAAAAAAAATTGGCCGTATAAGCTTTTTCAAAAAGTTGCTATCGAATTGATTAACTACGTTTTGAGAGATTGATCATATAAATGCTCATCAGTTGCATTTTGCATTTAAAACAAAGCATAAACATTATGTATATGTAAGCAATTAGAGGTTCAAAATCTTTCATTTTGAGTTTTCCAGATCATTGCAATCTTTAATCAAATTATAAACGTAGACTAAATACGATGGGGATTTTTTTTATTTATTTATCTATGGGGACGTAGGTCAGTGACCGGTTTATTTCCAAATTAAGTGGATAGTGAGAAGCAGGACGCAGAGCCTGACTAAGGTAGGGGCATAGGGGCGGTTGCCCCGGGCCCTACATCAAAAGGGGGGGGGCCCAAATCGAGTAGAAAGCTTATTTTGAGTTTCCTCTTTTAATGACCTTTTTTTAAACAAAATATCAGTACAGTGTAAATTCCGCCAGTCTTATGCTAGCTTATCTTCATTAATCTATCGTCAATCTATATTTAGTAAATTCATGGCTGTCTAGGGCGGAATTCAGCTAAAATCTTGCTATTACGATGGACACATTTAGCCAATCAAAAGCCTGTATTTTTACGTATCGCAAAATGCGATATGTTTACAAAAATACAGGCTCCTGATTGGCTTAACTGAGTCATCACAATTGCGAAAATTTAGCTGAATTCCGCCCTAATGTCAGCAAGGATATGAATTTTACGCCGCTAGATGACAAAGTTAACAATCAGAAACTGCATTCGACATGATGGACATAGAATTGTCAGAAAATCAATAAAATGGGCAGAACGATATTTCGTCCAACCATTGGAGGGTATTGGAGACTTTATAGCTTATTTGGTTCCAGTCAATTTTCTTGTTATCTGTAATGAGGTGAAAAATTTATATATCTCCATAAAGTTTATTTCTTCATTACTGAAGTAGAGAAGCAGAGTGGGCCCCCAAAGAAGTTTCTGCTCCGGTCCCCAATTAGGCTAAGTTGGACCCTGGCAAGAAGAGAGGCACACTACCAATCGGGAGTAATAAAAAAAAGGACTCTTTTAGATATAATATGAGAGCGCATAGATACCCGAGACATAAGTTGAACTTCATATAATTGATCCCAAACATGTTGCAACGAAGCAAAACAGAGTCATATTCTTTTGCTAATAAAATAGTCCTAAATTTGATTACACTCTGCTTTGAGGCAACTTGGATGAAAATGTGGTATTAATTTGAAACCTCATTAAAGTTTGAACAAACTTGCGTGATATAATTCAAAGTATCCCAATTGTAGTTAAATGTTGAACCGATTATTATTAAAATATAAAATATTGAAAAGCAATGTCAAAATCTAAGGTTTTTTTAATATTTAATTGTACTAAGATTTGAAGAACTTGACTTATTAAAATATTAATAATATTTTTTTTTCTTTTTACAGCTGGGGACCTTCTTGGGGTGAGAATGGATACATTAAAATGGCCAGAAACAAAAACAACCAATGTGGAATCGCTACAAAAGCTAGTTATCCATTAGTCTAAATTTATTATGACTTTCTTTTCGGGTCGTTTGTACATAAATCATCTTTATGTCATTTCAATGCATTATGTTTTTATTTTTGTTTTTAATAAAAATGAATTAAGTTTTTTTTATAGTTTTTGCGTTGCTATTCCGATTGTTTTATTTACTACTTTACACATATGTATGCAACATGTAATCAACATTCCTGATATATATTATTTGATAATATACATTCCTGATCCTGTTGCCTAAATCGTACCATTTTTTGCATTTAAATTTTTATCAGTCACATATCACTGACCAATGCACTTAAAATGTCTCAATGATAAAATACCGACATTCAGCTACTTATACTTTTTTTTTTGGTTAAAACATTTGTGCAGTAAATACTGAAAATTGTTTTCTGAAGTTCTGAAATGGTTCAATTTAGGAAACCAATTGCCTAACTCGTACCACCTGCTCCCTAAATTGTACCACCCTCAAAAATACTGAGTATTTATGATTAAGTGAATAGATAGATCATGTGTAACCCATAATAATTGTTTTATAGTATAATTAGATAAGTAATCCTAATTTTTTGAACTGTTACAAGCAGTGGCCCCCATCCCCCCCAAGCTCTTGGGCAAATTCTAAATTCCCCCCTAAACTATTCGTTTTATTTATTGTAAAAATCCCCCCCCCCCAAGCTTTAGGTGGGAGCATCAGGCGCCCACCTTCCCTCCTGGTGGGGGCCCCTGGTTACAAGTTCAGTAATATTATTATAAGCCCATAAAATGTTAAGAGAGCGTGATATTACATGCTACAAAGGTCAAACGTGACTTTTACATGAGCTGCTTTTTAAGGCTGCATCTTTTTGTGAGGGATCATTCTTCGTTTAGTTTTTAGGAATGGAAAATTGTATGAAACCATCAACGTGGAAGGTACTGAGACAGATCGGTCTATCAAATCACATTGCTAACCAATAATTACTAGATGATTACTATGATTACTAGATCATATTCTTTTTCTTCTTCTTCTCATTGGCACGACAGCCCAGGATGGGCCTTGGCCTTCTCAACAAGCCTATGCCAAGACATTTTTCCTTTTCCTATTGCCTTCCTTCCTTCATTTACTAGATCATCACTTAGATATTTTTTCAACAGTTTTCTTTCTTTAGAATAAGGAAAACAAATATCATCATAAGGATGTTATACCTCATTAAATTTACTGGAATAGTTTCGTTTCTTTCTTACTAATTCACGTATAGATTGAGGCTGTCTACTGCTAAAAAGTCAATTGAATTGCTGACTGACACATCCGAATCGCAAATCTTTTAAAACATTGTTCTAAATGTTTCAGTCTTATTAATAAGTCTTCAGGCTCATAATATTATAAGTCTCACTCACGAGATGAGAAATTTTGTAACTGGGTAAAAGTTCATTCATAGGTAACTTTCTGTCATTTTTCGAAAGTTTGGATGATGTAGTTGCGGTAGTTGTAATTTATTTATGTCACACTAGAGCAGCACAATAGGCTATTGGCGATGGCCAGGGAAGCATCACTATGGATAATCAGAAGATATGCCATCACAGTTTTGATCTTTTGCTGAGAGAATGACACCCCTGCTTCGGTAGTCTGACGACCTGCGCATGAAGTCGAGTACTTTACAGTGGAACGATTTAACGAGGACCGCTACCTCACACCCTCTGTCTCATCGCAGGCTGATCAAAGTGGTAACTCACATCCTCACACTGACCTCGGCTAATGATGCGTAACTTCGGTGATTTGCTGGGAACCGTGTTTTAACGATCAGCTCACTGCGCGACCAGTTCGGATGAAGTACATTATGAATGACTTAAAAGTAGACTTCTTCAGCAGTTAAAGTTGATACGTTACTCTTGAATCGAGAATTAGGAATACACGCAAATTACAATTTAGGCAATTACGAAACGTTTTAAAGTGCTATTCCAAACCTCAAACAGTAATTGGCTGACAAAGAAACAATCAGAACATAATAGAATAAGTTGCTTAACAAGTATATGGTGTGTTAGATAATCTGTTCATTACTGTAAAATTGCCATATCCTTACACGGATATCCTATGTTCAAAAATTACATTGAAAACTTATAAAACTGATTACCGTAAATAAAAACTTAACGCTAGAACACATCGACTTTTGATTCTCCATGTGGATGGATCTCCATGTGAAATAAGCTTCATAATTTTTCCGCTAGAATTTACCTACAAAGCTTCTTCAGATCACCTATCGAAGGAGGTAAGTTTAGGAGAGGTACAATTTAGGCAACTCACCTATTTTCTTAGAATCCGGGCAAGAAATAATGATAAAAGGGTTCTGATTAGAAAACGCAGATTAATACTCAGATAGAAAAAAATATAGTCAAACTTTAGTTAAACAGACTAAATTGGAAAGTTTCGTAATAACAAAAAACTAGTTTTATAACGAATAAAACTAAAAGGTATATTTTAACTGAATGTATAAAACTAAAATGTATATTATTAAATGCAGAAAATGGTTCTTATTAAAGAATTAGTTTAAATAAATATGCAAATTACAATGTTTTTTTTTTCTTTTCTCTCTCTTTCTTTATTTTCTAAAAATATTATTAAGACTTATTTTATTCTGATTATAGTGCCATGTGAATATTCCATGCACCATTGTTTTATAAAATATGCCCTCTCTTGCATATAAAATAATATAAAAAGTTCATAAATATTTTAGAAATAACAAAATTAATAAACATGCTAACAATTTATATAAAGTAAAATTAAAAGTAATAATAACTGTAATCATAAAGTAATAATTTGAAGAACAGACCTACAATTATTTAATACTTGTTTAAACAAAGACATCTTAAGCTATTAAAATTTCGGTAAGATTTTAACCGTAGTTTCATAGAAATTTACTTCATTAATATGTTTCTGGACATTACAATGAAATTCCGTTATGATTTAAAAGCATAAATAAATATAAATCAATATGAAATTTAATCACAATATTCGAAAAGCATTTTTTTAGTTAAATATTGTAAGTTTAACAAATGTAACAGATCATGCATGTAAAATTCCTTACATAAATTTAAAATCTCAGAAAATGAAGTAAGAAAATGTGATGATTTGTGAACTTAAGACTTTTGATCAGCAAGTAGCGTGTAGTGTAGTAATTGCGCAGTAGTAAATGCGTGTAGTAATTGCGCAATGTGAATCAAATGATACCAAAGTTTTTAAAAACTTCTGAAAAAAAAAATTTTTTAAGTAAGGACATAGGGTTTTAAGCCATTTGTTTTTTTAAATTTCAATTTTTTTTAAAAATATTTACCTTACTTTATTTTAATTTCAAACAGAAAAATATTTAACAGTTCCTAGAATTAACATCACCCAGTAAAATAAAAAATATTTTATGTGCTTTAACAGTAAAAATAGGAGTAGTTAGGAAAGGTGTTGTGAATGAGTGCGAAATGAATAACACTATTCTAATTTAATATTATTAAGCAGAAAAAACTAGGTGAAAGGCGTTAAGCTTAATTTTTTAAAGTGAACATTTTACAACTTTGATTTGTTGTTGTTGTGGTTCATTTACGTGGCACTAGAGCTGCACTATGGGCTATTGGCGACGGTAAAGGAAACATCCCTGAGGATGATCCGAAGATATGCCATCACAATTTTGATCCTCTGCAGACGGGATGGCACCCCGCTTCGATAGCGCCCGATAACACCGACGACCAGCACGCGAAGTCAAGCACTTTACAACTTCGAAGTGTTGTCTATAGTTTTTATGTCTCCGACGGCTCCAGCATAGCAAAATAAATGTACATATTATTTCTTAGCGAGGGAGCGGGGAGTAGAGATCGGGAAATTAATTAAAGGGCCCCAATTGATTCGTCCAGATCTGCTCATGTTATTAGCGATCGAAATGAGCTACAGGGGGGGGAGAGCAGAACTCTCTACCTATGACAATACTTCTTACGCTATTTGACGCTCATCCTAGCTAAATGGGACTCTGAAATGAAGTTCAAAATCATATGAATTTTTCAGGCTGGTGACATCAGAAAACAGTTCAATTTCCTCTCTGCATCCTTTTTTGTTAGGCAGCATCCATACTGCATGCAAATATCCACGAAGTTTGGAATAACCTAGATCAGATATTTAGAAATTGCTTGGAAGACGAACCTCTCACTCATTTGCGCCTGTATGAATCACATTTGCAAAATACTCCATAAGTTTTTCAGTGTTCCTTATCTTATCTCTTCTCTTAAGATGAAAACCGATAAAACTTTTTCGACTGTTTTCGAAGGGTGTCGTCAGAGCAGCTAGGAGAGAGCTGTCCGAGTCGTGGAAAAGACCCATTGGCTTGTAGGGTATCTACCACTTCAAAATTACAATTACAATTCACTAGTATATAAGACGTGTTAACATCCACCATTATCCACCTCCTCGCACTGTTGCTACCAGGGGCGAATCCAGAAATTCTTCCTGGGGAGGGCCATAGACTGAAATCCCCCCCACAATAAATTTTTTTGTAAAAAAAAGTTTTTTTTAATGTTTTTTTTTTTTTGAAAAAGTAGCTGGGGTTTTTAATGCTAGTCTTCTCATTTATTTTTTCATAATGAACAATACATAAATAATTCAAGTATTGAACATCTTTAAATAATAAATGTAACGCGTTTTTTAGAAACTTTGGCAAATCTGTCAATGATTTTTTCAATATCCAAATCAATTTCTCCATGAATGTTTAATTAATGCGAGTCCATTTAATCATTCTTGATTTTGAGTAGAAGCGCACGCGGCGAGCTTCATTATTAATGTTAAAATGAAACTATGACGAATTTCGTTTTAATCTTTTGGATTACGATTCTTGAAACAGTAAAGAACATAATTAGATGGGGAAAAATTGATTTTTCCTACCTATCTAGGTGTAAATGCCCCCTTAAATAATTTTTAAAATATTTCATTCCTTTTGTAAACTATTAAAAAAATTATTATTATTATTTTCAATTTGGGGGGGGGGTCATGACCCCACCGCTGGATCCGCCACTGGTTGCTACTCAGTCTCGTCTCGATCACGCACAACGTCGGCTTGCAACACAGGAGTGACTACGACCGTGAAGTTAATACACCTCTCACTTTCAGCACTCAAAA